GCCTACACGAGCCAACACCTTTCACTAGGTAAAGCTAGATTTCTGTGTCCTTTTACTTGGCATCCAAGAGCCTCTTGAGTAGTCAAGGGCCTTGCACTGAGGCTAATTTTTCCATAGCATGCATCGATGGCTTTTTACCAAGCCCACATAGCCATTATATTGTTTTCCAACCTCGATAGCTTTTTTTGAGCTTTGTACCATCTCAGTTTATCGCTACCATGCCCACACCTAGGGCCGTTTTAGTCCCACTATTGAGCCAAATTAGGCTTTGATACCAAATGTCACAGGCTAATCATTTTTTAAATCGAAACCACGCGTCCATGCAATATTAAGACTACTCATGTTAAAGTCAGCCTTTTGCGAGTCCATTTTCTCATAGATAGCTCGATATCGATCCTTCAAGCTGCATACTCGTGAGGCTTTCTTGGCTCTGACCTCATAGGGTCACACGCATTATTCTCAAACTTAATAGGGAGGAACCCAACTCCTATCATATCACTAACCATAAATTTCAATGTGGCTCTAAGCACCCACCCATGCTTACAGACACTAAGGTCCCAAGCACTAACCCTCCTCAAATTCACATAAGGGCGTACAGCTCCATTTCTTGTGATAATATCTTTATCTACATGGTAAGAACCCAACACCATCCTACATGCACCATATGCAAGCTTTAATGCCTTGAACCCGAAGGCACAACAAAAATGTTGATTAGTAGCCAGCCTAGAGCACATTAAGTTCATCTTATCCTACGAAACTCATATCTTAGGGCCTTAGCCCTTAGCCCCATTTTAGGCTACCCGCAAGCGTAATGGACATCCGACATCATGCCTATCCCACCTCACAAAACTCGAATGTGCTACCCCAATCGTATCACACCTCTACCAATTGGCCACAAGGGTCTAACAATATGCCTACCTACTAGCTTTCTCATCCCTCAAGCTTGATGTGCCCCTCTTATGCAAACACCATCTCATGATCCTTCGTTACTTATCGAACCAACTCAAAAAAGGGAAATCAAGAGGCATAGCGAATGCTACCATCTAACCCCACGATTTAACATAAAAGCACTATAGAAGCCCACCGACCCCAACCATTTATAGGTTTACCATGATCGGAGGAGACACCATGCCACACTCGTAAATACCCACCCACCTAAACACTTGTGCCTAAAAGTAACTCACTTCAAACTAGCTAGGCCCCCGCCTACTCGCTAGCCAAGGGGATGGTGGAAAGCAAACACCAAACGTCCCCCTATAAAAAGCGTAAGAGAAATCACAGCTTTGCTATCAAGAACAGTAAGAATGTTTGAAATAGAGACACTTTTCTCCCTAGTCATTTCAGGGCCTAGTGACCTTCCTTTTGGCCACTATAATTCACAGATTTTGCTCGTTGCTCCACCAACCCATTCGATGGTGCACGTACATGACTTCAACCAATCACACTCGATTGACTACTCGGCTCCAGGGCACTTGCTCACTGACTCGCGTCTGCCCACTGCTTGCATATCTTAGGGACTAGGATTTACACCGTCCGCACACCCTATCAACAATATATTCTTGAGCTTACACTACACACCCACGGCTCTAAGACCACTATCTCGATTACAAAATCTCAATCATTGCTTGGCTTAGGGTCAATTATAATAAGACCAAGACACACCAGATACTAACCATTACAATCAGCTTCCAACCACATTCTAGTTCTATGTTGGGGTCTCCAGGATCATAATGCCACCGTTGATCTTTTACTTCATTTGCATCTATCCTCTTTTTCCCCCTTTTACCATCCATCCCTAACCGCGTGTAGGAAGTTCCCCTGCCCCTTATGATCTCTTTCTTGGTTTCTTTGGCGACAGGAACTAGTCATTTTTCTTTCTTTATGTCTTCATTCCGCTTCGATGGCTTTATCTCTGGAAGCTTTTGCAACTCCAATTATACCCACACAGACCACAATTCCCTCTCTTCTCTTTTTTTTTTTTTTTTTTTTCTGATCAATATCTTCTGACTTTTGTTAGATGATTATATTATTCATTTTTTCTATTTAAATTAAAGATTGATTTGAGATTCAAGGGTCTTCTACATTTGTATTGTGCTGCCAGTAGAGAAAGCTGGAAATTGGGGTCGCTAGTGCAGGAAAGCCAATCGTCCTTACTACCCGAAGCTTTGCAATCAAGCAGAAGTCAAAGAGATTAATGTTACATTTTGCAAGTGATCAAAATCAAAATTTATTGCAATGATATTTAGCAACTACTGTTGTCTAGCATCCGACCCTCCCTATATAATCTTTTAAAACAAGTTTAATATTTTAATAGTCCTTCAAACATTAATAAAAATTAAATTAAATTTTGATCATTTATTAGGTGTAAATAAGATTATAATTTTTTATTTTTTATAATTATAAACATAAATTTTAAAAATCAATTAAAAAATCTAATTAGAACAACTTCTAAGTTACTTTTATAACTTTAAGTTATTTTATAAAAAGTCTAACTGAAATAAACGTAGATTAATTATAATTTGTGTTTATTAACTGTGTTAGGTAATAAATGTTAATTTTCTGTTGTTGGATTTTCTATTGATTTTAAAATTTATTATGATAATTATAAATAAGTAAAAATTATAATTTTATTTACATGTAATAAAAATAACAATTTTATTTTGGTGTAGCATAGCTGTTATTCATTCGTCTTAATGTATAATTGATGAATGTTTGTACAATTTATTAGGTAGCATTTTTTCTGCTTCTTGCATAAATAAAATTGTCATTTATTAAAAAAAAAAAAAGTTTTATTTTATTCTTTACTAAAATTCAATGATATATTTAAATATTAAAAAAAATGGCCAAGGCTCTCTTCAAACTTCTTCGTTTCATTAAAAAAGTGAGGAAATCTAACGTCATCGCTTTACCAAAATAAATAACTAGTACAGTCGAGACATGGCTACTCCCGCCGCTCTACTGCTATGTTCATAAATTTTCAAATCCAGCAATCAATAAATTCTAGTCCTTTTCTTCACCTTTTTTTTTTTATTTAAAAAATTCTCTTTTTATAAGTTAGATTTTTTTATAAAATTAATTATATCAAAAAATAAAAAATCTAATAACAGAATTTCCTCCTATAAATCTCTACAGTATTGTTTCTAAAGCTCCTTCTTTGGTTAGATATATAAAAACCCTTTCAAGAAAAAATTTCAAATTCTAAAAGAATATATTCAAACTTTTAAATTTGATTAATGCATTTTTCAACATAATCTCAAAAGCACTATTTTACATTTTTAATTATTTTGAAATTTTTAAGGCAGTAAATAGATTAAAGATATACTCAATTGTTATCAAATTGTGAGATCTAAATGTTTTTTTATTAAAGAGTTATAATTTATATAAATATAAAAAAATAAAAAATATAATTAAATATAACTAAAATTGACGACAAAAACTTTAAATTGACATAAGTGAACATGATATAAAATTAAAATAAAGTAACCATGATATGAAGTTGACATGAAGTAAACAAGACATAAAAATTGACGTGATGTTGATAAGTTTAATGTAATGTTGAAGTTTGATATTGGAGGTAATATAATCATTTACTATTTATTTTAAGAAATAATAAAATTTATATATCATTATACATATTTTAAACTGAAATAGAAAAAATTTTATTCAATAAACTGATCATAAAATTATCTTAATAAATACTGATCAATCCATTCGAACAATTCATCTTCAATTTTTATTTTTTTTTTTGTTTTGGATCTGCTATCTTATCATTGATTTCTCCTCTTATCTACCAGCAATCGCTGGAGGCTTTTTTGGACTGGTATTGTCGTACAATATATGGAGGCAAGCAGAGGCTTTGAGGCACAATTGTGAAGGCAAATTACTAGGCCCTGAAGCGTCACGTGCCTTGCCCATTGTAGGCCCCACTTCACCTGCATGGTGTCCAAACAACACCTTCCCGAACCCTTGCGGCTGTGGCTGATAAATTTGGACCTGTCTTCACAGTCCGACTTGGGGTATTCTGTACCCATTTCATTTGCAATCACGAGCAGTTAAAAGAATGTTTAACGACCATCGACATGATGTTAGCCACTGGCCTAAGATCAAAAGCAGGAACGTACCTTGCTTACGACGATGCAGGGACATGGTATGATTTTGCACTCTTGAGTCTTCATTGGTGATGGTTTAACCATTTGCACGTTTGGACCATGGTTCAATGTGTTTGTAAATCATAAATGTAAACTTGACAATTAACCTTCTGATCTGGATTCATCTTTTAGATTCTAATAGCAGCAGGGAGTACCGATCACACGACATCCCTTTCAATGACATGGATCCAACTTGATGAACATTGCACATACCTTGAAGCGTGCTTAAGAAGAGCTACACCTCAAAATTGGTCGAGATAGATAGGTGCAAGACTCGGATATTGACAACTTAGTCTATCTTGAGGCCATTATTAAGGAAACATTTCGCCTATATCCACCAGCATCTCTGTCCGTTCCTCATGAGGCAATGGAAGATTGTTGTGTTAGTATCTACAACATTTCAAACAGCATTCATTTATTTTTGAGTCTGGAAGTTGCAAGAAGACCCACGAATTTGGTCGAATCCTGAGGAATTTCAGCCGGAAAGATTTCTTGCAACCCATGAAAACGTGGATATATTAGGCCAAAATTTTCAACTGATTCCACTTGGTTCAAGTAGAGGATGTTGACCAGGGATGACTTGGGTATTGCAATTTTATTTTTTTTTGTATTTTTGAGTTTTATAAGAATTAACTGTATTAATAATAATTGAAATTCCAAGTTTTTGAAACATAGGCTTTTGGTGATTGGTAGATAATAATTTTTTGTGTTTTTAGTGCTTGACGATTTGTTGGGATTGATTAGAAATTTTGGATAATTATAGTTAATTGACCATTCAATCCAAAATTAACCACAGAAATTATCACCCTAGAGTAATAGCGACAGCAGCCATCCACTCCAAAATTAACCACAGAAATTGTCGAACGGTCCGGCCCAACCACATTGAATAATCTTCTCCAACTGCTATACACATTGCGAAATCAAAAGAAACAATTAGTGAGCATAATCTTGCCACCATCTCTCTTACTTTAGGCCAAAAATAATGGATTTCTCACCTCTTCTAGTGGCAGTTGCAGGGATTTTAGGATTGGTACTATTCTACAAACTATGGAAGGAGGGGACTCATATCCACCAAAGTAAGCGCAGGCTATTAGCCCCAGAACCTTCAGGTGCCTTGCCATTCATAGGGCACATGCACCTGCTTGGCGGCAAACGGACCCTCGCTCAAACCTGGGGTGCCATGGCTGATAAATATGGCCCTATCTTCACAATCCGGCTTGGAGTGTTCCCTGCCCTTATCATCAGCAATCATGAAGCAGTCAAGGAGTGCTTCACTACTAACGACAGGGTATTAGCTAATCGCCCAAGATCAAATGCAGGAATATACCTAGGCTACGATCATGCAGGATTTGGCTTTGCTCCTTATGGAGAGTATTGGCGTGAGATGCGAAAACTAGCCATGATTGAACTTCTCTCTAGCCGTAGACTTGAGACATTAAAGCATGTCCAGTTCTCCGAGGTGAATCAATTTATCAAAGATTTGTACTCGTTTTACAAGAAAAATGAACAAAATCCAGACCCAAAGATGGCGATTAGTCATAAATTTGAAGCCCTGACTATAAATACGATGATAAGATTGATCACGGGCAAGAGATATTTCTCGGATGCTGGTGGCAAAGATGAAGAAGCAGCACATGTCACAAAAGTTGTCAAAGATTTCATGTATGTTTCTGGTCTTCTTGCTCCTTCGGAAGTGATACCATTTCTTGGATGGATGGATTCCATTTTCGTGGGACAAGTGAAATCCATGAAGCATGTTGCAAAAGAGATAGACTCCATTGTTGGAACATGGGTGGAGGAACATAAATTAAAGAGGCTTAAGAGTGAACCAGACGACGGTCAGGATTTCATCGACCTACTACTATCTGCCATAGAGGAGGATTCCATGTTTGGCTATACTAGGGAAACTATTATCAAGGCTACGGTGATGGTATGTTCTTCCTGCTCTTCCGTCAAAACTATACCTTAATCACAATTCCCTAATACATTACAAAATTTAGACTTCCTGCCCATAGTAGTAGAAACAAAGAGCAATAATGCCACATAATAATAAGAAATTTAAAGTCTTGCGATTGGGCCCTCGATATATATGTGCTGAATTGATTTAACCTATTTGTTGTCTCATTTGAACAACATATATGAATTAGGATTTAAAACTTTCACGCTGCTTCAAACAAATAATCTTATATCTAGATATGCCTTACAAAATATAACTCTCCCAATTAGAAACCCTTTCCCCTTTGAAAATGGTTCAAATTTGACTTATTCTTTGATGCGGAATTCATCAGAGCATTTTGCATTACCAAGGTAAAGAAGAAAAGGACATTTCAGATAACCATTATTGTTGTCAAGATTAGGACGTTTTACCGAATCCAATAAATTATCAAGATTAAGCAGGTAAAATGTTTGAAAAACAGAGTATAAGACTCTTTATCTTAACTTCTAGACACAGATAATACTATCAGCTAGTCATTCCATTTTGATTCGTAAGAATTTCAAATTGAAATGTTTGGATTCAGTAAATTATATTGCATATTTGGATTATAGTTTCCTTTTTGTTGCTTAATTTCAAGCATTATTCAATCTACTTGAAAAACCCAAATTTCAGGTATTTAAATTCAAACCAGCTATGTAGTTCTGATTTATTTTCTGCTGTAGAATTTATTCTTGGCAGGCTCAGACACAACATCCATTACATTGACATGGATTTTGTCCAACTTGATGAATAACAAACAAGCCTTGAGGTGTGCTCAAGAGGAGCTAGACCTCAAAGTCGGCAGGGACAGATGGGTGCAAGACTCTGACATTGAGAAACTGGTCTATCTCCAAGCCGTTATTAAGGAAACATTGCGCCTATACCCACCAGGGCCGATATCAGTTCCCCATGAGGCAAGCGAAGATTGTAGCGTCGGCGGCTACCACGTTCAAAAGGGCACTCGTGTGATCACGAATTTGTGGAAATTGCATCGAGACCCTCGAATTTGGTCAAATGCTAATGAATTTCAACCAGAAAGATTTCTTACAAGCCATGCAGATGTGGATGTTCTAGGACAACATTTTGAGCTGATCCCATTTGGCTCTGGTCGACGATCTTGTCCAGGGATGGTATTGGCATTACAAATAACACACTTGACAATTGCTCGCTTACTTCAGGGTTTTGACTTGACCACACCATTTGATGAGCCAGTGGATATGACTGAAGGGTTAGGCATTACCATGCCCAAAGCAACTCCACTTGAAGTTATCCTCAGTCCACGTCTTCCTGCTGCGATGTATGTGCAGCTATAATTGTTGATATCTGATAAAATAAATTTAATACATTGTTGCTACTTAATTTTACGCCTTGTTTGGACGGTATAATAATGGAGGTTTATAGCCTTACATAAGTATTATTCTTATAATATATCTCTAAAACCTAAATAATGTATATTTTTGTTAAAGGGGATTTTTATATTTTCTTGCAGTTTTTTATTTGATTGATCCAAATAGATTCATTTATGTCAAGCATAACAAATTCATCAACAGAGTCAAAACTAGAGACAAACAAAATAGAAGCAATATCCATTAATAAATTTAATTACTATATTGACTATGAAAATTTAAAATATCTCCACTAACTCATTTAATTCATTCACATAAAAACAACCAAACAAAAAGAAGATATAGTATCTAACTGAAAATCCACAAAAACTAATTTCCTAATCAGCAGTAGCTAGGCAAAACAGGCAAGCAACAATTTCGGGATTGTCAATCTTCATGTCTTAAACTATTCCACCTTAAGTGGCCTGTTTTCATTGGCTACAAACATAGTAACATATTAAATGACACATAATTCACCCTCTACCTACTGCATGTGCTCATGGTGTCTACCCAAAAACGGCTGCACTCTCTCTCATTCCACCATTTTCAGCAACCCACCGAAACGCCTCCTTTAACCCTTTCTCTCCCTCCCTCGAAAATATAATTAACATTTTCATCTCTTAAAAGGAAAAGAAAATGAGGAGGAAGAGAAATTCAGTAGTGAACTATGTGTTTGGATGGATAAGGAAGCAGTCGATGAAGGTGAAGATCTTCTTTGCAGCAACGTCTTTGCTGTTTTCTTTGGTGGCATTGAAGCTTCTGGTGAAGGATCACAGCCAATTTTTAATTGCCTCTGAACTCATCCACATTGCTGGGATTGTGGTTTTGGTTTATAAGCTTACTACCAAGAAGACATGTTCTGGTATATTTATATCTCTGTTTTTTTTCATATACATTTCATATTACTGTTTTTAATCCGTTGGGAAATTTTGTGATAATTTCTTGTTTCAGTGGGATAGTTCTTTTTTTTTTATTTTATAGTCTGTTTTCTGGACTTAATTTCTGAAAAGTGCATGAGCGTTACTATTGTTCTATTCAACAATGCACTTTCATATTTTCTGAATATATATATAGAGGCGCGATCCCTGCTCATGTATATATATATTTATATATTGGTTAATTAATTGTAAATGATTGAAGAAAATCAGTGAAGGGATCAAACTGAAGGAAAGAAAATGAGAATAAACAAGAAAATATAATGAAATTCGCATCTTTTTGCATTTGAAATAAATAAATTAGAGTTATTCTATGATGTTATAAATCATTCTTATTCTATGATTAAATAATTAATTCTTACAAATGGACAGATCCTTATAACGCAAATTTAAAATACCAAAAACAAGATGATAATTGATATACATGCTTGGCAATAGATTAATAATCCAGTTTCTGTTCCTTCTTCAGGCCTTTCATTGAAATCTCAAGAACTGACAGCAATATTCTTAGCTGTAAGACTTGTCTGCAGCTTCATGTTGGAAGGTGACATTCATACGTTGCTGGATTTTGCCACCCTCATTTTTACAACATGCCTTATATTTATGATTCGATACAAGTTGAAGTCAAGCTATATCAAGGAGCTAGATAACTTTCCCATCTACTATACGGTAAGTGCAATAATATTCTTCAGTTTTTTTATTAGATTCATCTCTATACACTTAGATTCATGTGTATGCTATTTTTATTTCTATTTTGTACGTATGATACTATACATAGCAAGATAACTGTAGCATTATGAGCTATACCTTCATAGATTGCCATCCATCCCAGCTTTGCTATAGGAATTTGATTTATTAAAGTATTTCAGACAGCACTTTGTTCAGAGCAAAATGAAAATGGAATTCACTTATTAGCCGTATTGGATTGTTTTGCTAATCAGCAACCCCATTTAATTTATACTTTCTGGTCTAATATATTCGTTACAGGTGGTGCCTTCTGCTGTCCTTGCTGTGTTAATCCACCCATATAATTCACATATATACATCAGTCAAGTTCTTTGGGCCTTCTGTGTTTATTTGGAAGCAGTTTCAGTGCTGCCACAGCTTCGTATGATGCAGAATGCAAAGGTTTCAGCTCAGTGTTTGCTATTACTTTTGTCATATACTTTATTACTTTTGTCAGTATAATACATATCAGATATTACAACATACAATTATTTTCCTGTTCTATGTACATTGTTTTGCAGATGATTGAAGCATTCACAGCCCATTATGTATTTGCACTGGGTGTTGCTAGATTCCTCGCCTGCGCTCATTGGATTATCCAGGTTTGATTTTATTAATTAATCAATAAAAGTATATCTAATTCCTAAATTAATAATCCAATTGGCGTAAAATCACCCAAAAAAAAAAAAACATAATTATTGTTTCCTATTTGCATGAAAGGTTTATGAGACTGGGGGGAGGTATCTTTTTCTGGTTGGAGCTGGGTACTTTTGGTTCCCCATGGTTATCATTGCAGAAATTGTTCAAACATTCATATTGGCAGACTTTTGTTACTATTACATTAAGAGGTGAGCCATTTTTCCCTATCGATCCCTATAACTCAGAATTGATTTGGAATCGATGTGGCGCTGTAGGATTCAACCACGCATCCAAATCAAACCTCAAACAGCTAATTACTATTTTTAGTGATGATTTTCTATCTCTAATTCTCAATGTATATTGTAAAATAATGTTGTAATTAATGTTTTCTTTTTCGTTTGCAGTGTCATGCAGGGCCAACTAATAATTAGGATGCCAGTTTAGAAATTTTGAAATTAATTTAGACAGTAATAATGTACATTTTCAATTCATCTGATTTGGAGTTTAATTCAAACAAGCATATGGTGCCATCAAAGGCCTAGATCTGTTGTTTGTTTCTTTTACTTTTCTTCCCTTGAATTTTCCTTCTCCAAGTACAATTTTACTTGAATTCTTGGAACTGGTTTTGATGGTACCTGGTAGGACTCAAGTTATATTGGACAAAAATTAGCTAATTAATGTGTTAGTAACTATTTTTTTTTTTTTTTTGGTTCATAGGAGGGCAAATATTCGGAGGAGGAGGATGATGAAATTAAAATCTGCATCTACATGTCTTTTTTAAAACCTCTTAACCATTAAGTTAAGAGGTGAAAGACAATGTACTAGTAACTATTGCTTGTTGATAAAAAGATTTGAGACTATTTATAATTTCTTTCCTTGTTTATATTTGTGCATTTGGAAATGAAATACAATGAAAAAAAAAAAAAAGATGTGGATTTAGATTCCATAAATAAACCATGTTGATCTCTCATAGTATTTATTATAGAATTTATCTTAAGAATATTTATTTTGTTTTGCGAAAATTAATTTTTAAAAATTATCTTTTAAAAAATATTTACATTTTTTAAAAAGCAGAAATTTCTATTGTTGGATGATTCCAAAAATTATTTATTATTTTTTTCGAAATTTTTTTCAAATAATATTGATAAAATTTTTAAATTAGAAAAAATTATTTATAATTAAAATATATTAAAATTATTTATTATTAAAATTATTAATATTAAAAAATTATATTTTAGTAATAATATTTGATATTAAAATATTTTATTACTATAAAAATCTATTAAAACAAAACTATTTATTATTTATATTAATATTTTAAAATATTTAAGGTAACATTACTATTCTTAAAATATTTTTTATTAATATAATAATATTAAAAATAGTAATATTTTATTATTAAATATTAAAATTATTTATTCTATTAAAATAATTATATTTATATTTAAAGTATCTACTATTAAATTATAACAAAAATATTATTTATTTATATTTATTAGTAAAATAATCATATTAATATATTAATAAATATAAAATAATATCTTTTAAATTGAAAAATAATAATAAATTATTAAAAGTATTCTTTTTTTTTAATAATCATATAGATTAAATCAAGTTTAAACTTAAAATATCATGTCCAAGATCTTATTTAAATAAAACTATAAAAATACTTTTAAAATGAAAATATTAAAAGAGTTTTAATATCAATAATTTAATTTTTTTACTTAAAATGAAATAAAATTATTTTTTATTAATATAATAATATTTTGTGTTGATCAAATTAAGTTTTAACTTAAAAAACCATGTTTCAAATTCGATATGTGTAGAATTATATTTACAAGTTTGATAAATAATCCTATCTATATACATATGTTTCTTGAAAAATATTTTTTAAAAGAAAAAATTAATTTAAAAAAATAATATCATTTTTCATTAATTAATAAGTTATTTTTATTAATCAATCAATTTTTTATCAAACAAACAAAAAAATTATATAAAAATTATTTTTCTTGAAATAGATAAAATTTTATTGTATAATTTATCTTAAGAATCCAAGTTTTGTATTTAAAAAGGATCGAACATTGTTAAAGACTTTTTTCCTTTAACCCAAATGATGAATCATTATTTTTTTTATATTTAAAATTTTGGATAGATAAATGGCTCTAACCTTCACAAGATATGTATTCAACATTTTATTGGCCACATCTGAAATTAATATGAAAAGATTACTTGCAAGACTCATACCTCTCACATATTTCATAACGAAAGAACGAGTTCAACTAATCGACTCATCCATTCATGGGCGAAGAAAGCAAGTTCAATCAATTGAATCATCTTTTACATTGGCGAATTTATATTATTTAATCAATTGCAAAAAAAAAAAAAAAGGTAGGAATTAATCTTAAACTTTGAACTACAAATCTTATATTTTTAAATATTATAAATTTTTATAAACTAAAAAAAATCAATTCTAAATTCTAAACATATAATGAGCATATGGGATGCTACATAAACAATCAAAAAGTTAATTAATTTTTATCAAGTGATTAATTTAATTAATTAAAATTATTTTTTTAAAAATTTTAAATTTAAATTTTATCGATGGTTATTTATTAAAATTATTTTGAATATATAATTTATAATTAATTATTTTAAATTATCATATATAATATATTTTATTTTAATATAAAAAATTAAATAATTTATTTATTTTTAATTTTTTTAAAAAAATTAATTCTTAAATCATTCAAAATAAAAAATATATATTATTAGTCCTTTTATTTTGCTTCTTTACCGATGGGCATGTCCCATCCCATCACCAACAAAGCTGCCCTACAAGTAATTGTCACATATTGCTCCAGTAATTTCCAGTCTGAAAAAGCTGGTGATTTTCGCTGCCCATTCTGCAACATTGGCACGTGCCCTTCATGCACCACTTCCTCAACTTTCAAACCTTGGACCACTCCCGGTCCAAACGACCCCATGTCTCGCCTTATACCTCATCTTCCGTTTATAAACCCCCATTGACGTTCGCCACCTCTCCCTTCTAATCCAAATGGCTCCCATCACGTGTACGACACATTCGCTCTACGGCCTACGTCTACACATCACATCAATACCTCCAAAAGCTGCGAACGCAACTTGACTCTGCTGAGCTGTGACGCCGCTAGCTCCGGCCACCTGTCATGATCTTAGCTATCTGTATAGCAAGGAAAACCGGGCATTCCTCGTTAGATTTTGCAACTGTCACATCCCAGAAGCCGCAGCGTAGCTTTCCGATTCCTGGGGATTCGCAAAATAGAATGAGACGGTCGAGATCATCGAGGACAGTGAGATCTCGCACCACATGTCCGTCTGCTGCCAGAGTCAGAGAGTCCCTCACAAAAGCTGTTTCGTTTCATTAACTCAACCAAGCGAAAGCGTGTCGTGTCCTCGTCTCTTCATTAACTTGTTGGGAACTTGGGATAAGAAAATCCAAGGAGAAGATTTTATTGAGGCCGGAGGGCGTTTTAAAAATTTAGTGCTAATCCGGTCTTAATGCTGTAACCTTAAAACTGTCTTACGTGTCAACACCAACTTTTATCTCCACTTCTCCCTGTCTAGCCAAGTGGCCTTCCCTCGTCTCTTCCCTCCCAGCTTTTCTATGTCTCTCCCCTTGAAATCTGAATCCAGAGAGGATACAATAGCAGGTACCCGTACGAAGAGAGTACATTTGTCTTTTTTTTTTTTTCTTAATTGTTGCATGAGGCCTTAAATTACTGTGGGAGGATGGGGTCAAGTGAGGATGAGATTGAGATTGAGCTAGAGCTGGGATTATCAATAGGGAGAAGCTTTGGAAAAGCCGGGAAACTAAAGCCAATCAAGAAAGAACCAAAACCCAACAACAACTCGGTTGCAGATCTCGGGGAAAGAGTGGTTTTTGATTCACAACCGAAACGTGAGATTCAAGCTTTAAGGAGACAAGAAGCAAAGAAAGCGAGAAGAAAAGCAGCAAAACGGAGGAATAATCATATCATCAAGATGTCACCAAAACGGTGAGTTCAGAAGCAAAGACAACGCCGCCGATTCAACAGAAGAAAGGGAATGCAAGAAGAACAAGGTGCAAGAATTTTATGGAAATGTAAATCTTAATTTAAGCACCGAACCAAATAAGCCGTTGGTGTGCCCAGTTATTCCGTTGCGAATCCCGTGCCCGTACCCACAGGCCCAGTTTGTACCGCTCACCAATGGGTTTGCGTATTCTTGCATAGATGCGGTGCCTTGTTGGGGTCTTGCTACCGGAAATGAGAATGGTGTGTTGCAGTCAGTGTCGGTGAATGGCGGGTTTCGGCCGTTTCAAACGGGTCAGAATTCGGGTGTGCATGCTGGAAATGGATATGATTCGGAGCAGAATAGTAGCAGAGATGAAAGGAATAGGAAAACAGGGTCAAACGCGTCTTCCATATATAGTTCCTCTGTGGTTTCGGATCTTCAAAGCTCTTCTAATCAAGGTATGTACTTAGAGTTTCCTTTTTGTTCTTTGCCGTTTTCTACGAATGCTCTGTATCAAGAATCTTTCATATATCAATCGTGTAATTTGCTTGTCTGCTTTTATTGGATGGTTTATAAAAACCAAAGTAAGGTTTTTGAAAATGTATAATTTGAATCTTGTGCTTTTTGGTCAATGATAAATTTTGGTTGGAAAATGTTTCTGTCCACCTTTACCAAAGATTAAGAATGTAGATTGCGGCTGTTGTCTTTCGCAAATAAATGGGGACATGCTGGACAAAGAATCCCCCTTGGTTATTGTCTCTGCCGCCTTGTCTTCGATCAATATACAATTAAATGGGCTGGCGAATCACGATTAACGATCGTGTTAAAATGATGGCATAGTATAGGAATGTCCGGGTGCTCATGACAGTACATGGAAATTAGATTCAAGGATTTACAGTAGTTGTCATTTATTTGGTAATGTTCAAAATAGTGCAATCTAGATATATGTTGCTTGGGTTTGGGTGTCAGGTTAAAAGATACGGGACGTTTCCGGCACCGTGCAATCAACTTTTCTAAGTTTTTCTTGATGTTTCAAGGCTCATGCTTTTGAGATATCAAATGTGTTGGACACATGATCTTAAAAGAAAATTGAGGAGTTAAAGCAACATAAGAAAGCAATACTTGAATTTGTTTGACTTTTGTCTGATACTTGCCGTGGATGAAATTAATTAAATTGCAGCTGCCAGATATACGTAGACACATGTATATTTATTATCAGTCTGCTAACTGAACTTCTAGCGATTCATTTGGAACGAGGGAATGAAACTTTTTCTTAAATCTAATGGTTGGGTCATCAGCCATGGAACCTTATTTCTTATTACATTCCCCAACCATTCGATGAACTAATTTGATGGTGTTGCCTTTCATTTCAGGTGGTTGCAGCAGTGAAACTGGAACTCACACAAGTCATTACCAACTGGAACATCCTCAAATAAATTGTTCTGTAGCAAGCAATCTAAATGGCCAGTCTGAACATAGTTCTACCTCTCACCAAATGGAGTCTGCCCAAAGTGTTGACAAATCTAGAGAAGGTTTCGAAAAGACGGCCTTATTGAAGGCCACCAAATTAACCTCATCGAATCCTAAGAAAGAACCCAAATTCGAAAGCCAACAAGATCTTGATAGCAAGCCAGTTTCGACCAATGAAACTACAACCACCACTTTAACAAAACATAGGAAGGGGGACACGGGCAAGCCTCCTAAGCCTCAAACTCCTACTCATGATGACATCCTTTCCCTTCGTAGCATGCCTTGCGTTTCAACAACGGGCAATGGCCCTAATGGTAAAACCATTAATGGTTTTCTGTACAGATATACAAAATCAGAGGTCAGCATCATATGTGTCTGCCACGGAAGTTCATTTACGCCCGCTGAGTTTGTGCAGCATGCTGGTGGCAGTGATGTATCACATCCTCTGAGACACATTACGGTGATTCCTTCCGCTTTTTAAGAATACAACAAACATAAGGATGCCTGATTGTTTTGCCTGGTCGTTAGTTTTTGTTATTGTTTTCTTTTTTCTGTTTTCTAGACCACAACACACCGTTCACACTAACCGAAGCCCTCATGTAAAAAAAATTGTTTATGGTTAAGAGCCCACCCCGCAGCTTAATCGCCATTTTGAACCTACTTTAGCTATGACGCACCTTTCAGTGAAATTTTACTTTGGTTGGTTAATTCAACTGGATGATTGTTCTCCATCTCAGCTACAAATCTTGACTGCTGAAACAATCGAAATAAATATGGAGGGAGAAAATCAAGCTTTCTAACAGCTTCTATCAAACCTTTGGAATAGTGCGAGGATTTAGCGTGTCTTTTTTGAAGCCCAACAAAAGGCCTCAAATGTATGAATGAGTGGGTTTAAAAGCCCATGATGAAACAAATTTCACTTTAAGTAACTAAATTAAATGGCGGACTCTTTAAGCGATGAAGGAAGGTTATAGCATATGAATGGGGAGGAATCTTGTTATTAAGTACAACTATATGAATCAATCAAAACGCATAAATTAGCATATGTTTCTTATTTTATCTTATCTTGACTTTAATTTATCAAAATAATTTAAGTATTTAATTTAATAATACGCATGCATTAAAATATTTAAATCTATTTTATCCATATCATTATATTTATCCTTTATTGATTTATGTGTCAAATAAATTTTACTTTAATCCTTATTTTTAATAAAATTATACAATATAAAATTTTCTAAAAGTGAATTTTATACATCTTGAATTTCAAAATTTTAAAACATATTTTAAAAAATTTAATTCAATAGATATTTTAAATATTACTGCTCAAAGATAAATTCATATGACAAAAGAGTAACATGAATAAACAAAATGGGAAAGAAGAAATATATTTTTTCTTTTAATTAAAAAACACGTGGATATTACTTAAAAAAACACGTGGACATGTAATATTAATAGTAATACTAATCAAATTGTTTTATAGAATCAACCCTCAAAATAAAAGATTATGAACTAAAGGAAAAAAGGAATGGTCCATGAACAAGCGTGGCTTGTCCGAGTGACTAAGAATAACAAAGGGATTTTTCTTTTCAGGGAATATAAGAACAAGAATAACAAAGGAAATTTTCTTTTCAGGGACTATAAAAGCCAAACCCCAAAGCGAGCTTATTCATCCCTTTGCACTCCCCAGTTTCGTGCCTCTCCAAGAGCCACCAAAGCCCTAGAAAGCGCCAGATAACCCAAAACGAAGGGAGGTGAGAGAAAGAGCAAAACACACTTTACACACACACATGCACACACATAAACAAAAGAAGTGATTTGAACCCCCAAAGAAAAAAATATATAAAGGAGACCAGAAAAAAGCGCTCTCGTCTCTCTCACTTTTTTTTTTTTTAAATCAAAATCTAAAAGCTCAGGTAAATAACCTCATTTCTCAACTCATTTTCTACTTCATTTCTCTCTCTATTTTATTTTTTTTTTCTGGTTGCTTAGATCAATGATAAATGTTCAGTTTTTAGAATATACTTTAAGTTTTCTCAGGAACATGGATACGATTAATTTTAACTGTAACCATAGTGTTTTGTATGGATCAGTGAGGTTCTGTTTTGTTTTTGTTGAAAATTTTTCCTGGAAATTTTGTATTTCAAGACTATTTATTCGGTGGATACATACGGTTGGAAGCGTTCGTGGTCATTTCAGGAAAAAAAAAAAGATTGTAGGGGTTATGGTTTGAATAAATAGCTGCTTAAAATTAGGGTTTTGATTAGTGATTTTAATTTACAGGTACCAAATCGGCAATGGCATCTACAGAACAAGAAGTCCCTGCTGGAATTAGTGTTCCTACGGCCGATGTTGTATGTTTACTCTCCCCCCCCCCTCTTATTCGTGTGTTTTAGTAACAATGCATTTAAAGTTAAGTTTTGATCTATATTGTTGGTGATTTTAGATCGGTAATGCCTTTGTTCATCGGTACTACCTTATCTTACATCAATCCCCTGCGCTGGTTCACCGATTCTACCATGATATCAGCAAACTTGGTCGTCCTGAAGAAAATGGTGTCATGAATATCACAACAACTATGCAAGTTAGTTTTCTCTATCTGTTGCCTTCGTTCATGTGTGTTTGTCTTGGGCCAATCTTTCCAAATGAGAGTATATGCGTGTCTTTATTTCTCAATTTTATTTCCTTTTTATTTTTCTTTCTTAAATCCAACATTTTAATTGAAAACCGTGTTTTCTACCCTTTTGAAAACTATATGTCTTAGTAAGTCCAGGTTTGCTTGGTTTCTAATGTGAAAATCTACTTGAATTTTGGTTCTGTTTGTGCAACAATGGAAACCAAGCAAATGTGCTGCAATATTGAAGTTTTGATCTCTGGACTTTTCTTACATGTCAAGAGTTGGTGCGGAACTTTAAATAGAAGAAATTTCTAATTGATAAAATTTTTGTTTCCCATAAACCAGATGGATCAATATTAAAATAGAACAGGTTATGGAACTAATTTTGTTCTTGTACTTTTATGTGATTGGCTGTATTGGAGTCTAGAACCTCTTTTGAGTTGTATTCTCTTGATGTAATATCTAAAATGTATGACTTATAGGATTTTGAACTTATTGGATTTTGAATTGGTAGAGTTGAAACTGTGATGCTTCATTTTGTGGACCAGGCCATCAATGAAAAGATACTCTCACTTGGTTATGGAGAATTCACAGCAGAAATAACAACTGTAGATGCACAAGACTCTCACAGTGGGGGAGTACTTGTTCTTGTGACCGGGTATTTCACTGGAAAGGATAAAGTGAAGCGGAAATTCACTCAGAGTTTCTTTTTGGCACCGCAAGACAAGGGCTATTTTGTTTTAAATGATGTATTTAGATACGTTGATGATGCTAAACACCAAAGTGGGAGCCAGGATCCAGTTAATAATATTGAGGTTTCTTTTACTCCCGAGCATGGTAATTATAAACCAAGACTGCCATCTGAAATGCAGAATTATAATGATTTCCTCCGATTGATGTAAATGTTTGATTACTTATCTTTCTCATGCTCCAGAGAATCATATTGAGCAACCGGCTGCATTGTCAGAAGAAGCTAATGGTCCAGAAGTGTACAATCCTTCTGAGAATGGAGATGGTTCTATTGAAGAAGAGGAAACACCAGCGGCCAAGGTTATTGATGAGATTCCTGATGATTCACAGATGGTTGCTGATTCTAACTCCAACATCGAGGAAGTGCCAAAGAAATCATATGCATCTATTGTAAATACTAAGTACCAGTCTGCTGCATGTTAGGCTTCTAATGTTTGTGAGAATTACTTGGTATCATTTTTGCATTTATAATGCCAGTTTTACGGTGATAAATTTAGCCTCATCTATTATTGCTCTCGGTGAAGGTTATGAAGGAGAATGTGGTTCCTACACATTCCCCTGTGAAGTCTGCAGTTAAGAGCCATGAGCTACTGAGAACTGCTGTACCCCCTGTTGCTCCAGCCCCTGCATCTGACACACAGATTTCCAACAAGAATGTTACAGAAAATGGGAATAATCAAGATATAGAAGGTATCCACCTTTTTGTCATTCCTGCAAAATTTTCAATACTTAGCATGCAGTTTATTTGTTATTTGCGTTTTTATGATTATTTATTTTTGTATCTACTTGCTTGTGCATATGATTTACTTACATATTCTTTGGATTGTGGACAGCTGAGGGTCCCTCTATATACGTCAAAGGTCTGCCCATGAATGCTACACCTAGCATGCTGGAGAATGAGTTTAAGAAGTTTGGACCTATTAAGAGTGATGGTATTCAAGTTCGAAGTCAGAAGGTAGATGTTGACTCATTTTTCAATAAGTTGAATTGTGACTGTATATTTAATTAATATTTTCTCTGTATTTAACTACAGGGGTTCTGTTTTGGTTTTGTGGAATTTGAAATGGCAAGTTCTGTGAAAAGTGCTATAGAGGTATTTGTCATTTTTTGTTATTTTCTATAGTAATGCATTTAGTTTCATACTTAGAGGTCTGTTATCATGGCAAGGGTTGCAACATTTTCTGCAATTCAAAACGTGCTTTTGCCTATGCATGCATGCTTTGCTTCAGATTATGGCTGGACTTCTAATGTAATCTCTCGAAATTTTTGCAACTGATGTTATGACCGTGCCTACATTTTAAGTGAACGTTCTGTTATTTTTTTAGAGAATGTAGTTGTAGGATTACTAGAAATGAGGAGATGTTAATTTTATAATGTTCATAGATAAACATGGAGCGGAGACTAGGATGTTCTAGTGGAAGCCTGGTGCTGCATTTGCTGTGAAATTCTTGGTCAATGGTTTGATTGTAGAACATTTTACCAGGCAACTTTTTGACTTAGAAAACGTGCTCAACATAGTCCATTACTTTTGGACATATGCAAAGTTGTGTAGGTAAGGGTGATCCATTGTTTTATTTGCAGCAAATTAGAAGCTTGGGTGTGAAACAGCTGTGGCATGTTAAGGAGTCATGAAGATTAGGTTGTGGAACTAACTCTGTTGTAGAGGTCCCAAAGTGATTAAGGGGCCTCTGTGGTGTCATGTTGTGGGGAGAAGAGGCTACTTGTTACTCGGCTTAGTTATCCTAGGAGGGAAGCCTAGAGATGCTAGTTATGGTGGTAAAACAAATCTGTATTTTTGCATTTCTCCAATAGTAGGATTTAAAGTCTATTAAAGATTGACAGAAGCTTGGTAGGACATTGAAGAAGCCCTGGAGTTGACTAAAGATTAGGAATATGGCTGCAAGATTTCTTGGAATTCCTGAACCATTATTCCTTTTCCCCATTATAGATTGAGACTTGTGAATTCTTTTTCCATGTAACCAACTGCCAGTAAGTTAGATACATGATTTATGTGGCATTTTTTAGTGATCCCTTTAACAAGTAACTTGCTGCTAGACCTTGGTGGTAAATTATGTAAGATTTGCGAAACCTTTTAGGTCCCAATATAGTCTTATTCATCAAGTTTAGCTAATTTAAAATTATTAAGAGTTGTTCCCTATATTGGTTGTGTAGAATGTCTTTAATGGTACATTTTTCATGGAGTTATTAATTTGTCTACTGAATCATCAAAAGATTTTAGTGGTATTTTGGATTTTTTTTTTTTCTTTTCATTATCTTTTGGTGATGCCCATAGAGTTTAACCTAAATTATCTTTTGCTATTTATGTAATCACGAAGGTGCATTCAAATGTTAAACTTAGATTTTTTTGCATTAAAAAGGAATGAAATTTATGTCATTGTGTTGAATCTTTATGCATTATCTTTTAAATTTGTATATCTTCCTGTGATTGGTTTTAAATTTAAGTAATTCATGATTTTATTTTTGATGTGCCTCTCCAATGACAAAGGGTGGGGGTTCAATCTTACAAGTTTATATTTAAGTCCCAGCATTAAACATCATCTTTTTTTTTGGTTCATAGTGGGGCAAAGCCCTTAAAGGGGAAGGGGGAATGGCAGCATTAGAACTCATGCCCACATGTCTTCCTCAATGCCTCTTAGCCACTAAGCCAAGAGGTGGAAGGCAGCATTAGACATCATCTTTTCCAGCTACATATATTAATTTCTTTTGTGCAATAAATCTACGTCTTCATGCCTTTTTCTTTTTTGAAATACCTTTCAGGCTTCACCTATTAATATCGGTGGACGTAAAGCAGTTGTTGAAGAAAAGCGGTCTACCTCACGAGGCAAGTTCCTTTTATTGTTAACTTTACTCAAAGTTATAGTAAATGATCTACATGATTTATTAAAAGATGATACCATATTGAGTATGAGATCTTCAACTCAGGTGTTTTCAAGCCATTTCATGGTTATTAGATGAACTAGAAGTGTACTTTGCTCATCTCTGAAAATGTAGTTTTTAGGTTAATGTTGAAGCGGTGTGTCCATCGTACAACATTTGAAATCTTTGGTTGTTGGCATAGGACTGATGTTTCCTTTTCTTGATTGGAAGCAAATGGTAGCTTATTGAAAAACAAGCTTTGTGATATATCCAGATTCCAGAGTTTAGTCAAGAACATGGACTTCAAAACTTATGTGAATGTATTTTGCAAGTTATAAGACTGTTCTTCATTTGCAGGGAACAAAGGTCGGTCCTCATCGGGTTCTGGGGCTGGATACAGAAATGAGGGAGCAAGAGGGCGTGGAAACTATGGTGGTGGCAGGGGCTATAGCCGGGGTGAATTCAGTAATCGTGCTGAGTTTGGAAACAGGAACAGCAATCGAGGAGGATATTCCAACTTTGGAGGTGATGGATATCAGAGGGTTGATCACATGGGGAGTAATGGCGGCCATGTGAACCGTTCTGGTGGACTAACTGCTAATGCAGCAGCCAAGAATGTGGCACCAAGGGTATCGGCCCCTGCTTGAAGAAATTAATACAGAAATTGGTTGGGAGTGATAAAATATGACTTTCTGTTTGTAGTGTAGCGATTTACAAAGCACTCCATGCTTTGCCCAGGGGTTTGTCTGAGATCTGTTTAGGGTTCTTATCCCATTTATTCATTTCGGCTTTTATAATATATACTGAAAGGTTTTTGGGCGGATGGTTGATTCAATTCTTTATTTCCATGCCAGCGTAACGTTTAGGCTTCTGGGGCATTCTATTTTGGTAAATCTATCTTTAGTTGACGGTTTTCGGCTTTTTTTGCCTTTTGGCCTCGATTAAAAACGCATACGCAACAAATTTTATTGATGGATTTTCACCAAACAACTCATACGGGAATTCCAGTTGCTTCATTTGAATTGTCGTGATTTTGTCGGAACTTTGCCCCATTCGAGCGTGCAGTAAAGCATTGGCTTTCTTTCGTATTGGCTGTCTTTTATCATATGAGACACGAAAATACTATGCTTTTGACGATTAAGAACTTTTTATCATCATGATTGCGGGATAATTTTGATTGCAACACTTGTATGAACAAATTAAAGGGAGAATTTCTATAATTAATATGACAAGTAATCTTTGCTAGAGTAGATGCTAATTTTCTTCCACGCAGAATAACAACACTTGATTAACGTGTAAGAAAATGCAGCTTTGTAGCATACTCCCGGTACAGAAGCTTCCGCTACGATGTTATTTAGACACCGAAATTGCAGGCCTGGACGAACTCCAAATCATAGTCAACATACTTGGTCCAAAGAGGCTTGAACTGGTTCATGGCAATATCAAGCCATGGCTTCATATTCCCATTGAAGTGCACCACCGCGGCATTGCGGATCTCATCCATGCTAATGCTCGGATTATAGCCAAGTCCAAGAACATGCCAAGACTTGTCTAGAGGTTTTGTTGTTGAGTAAAATGTGATCAAACCAGGGGGCAATGTTCCCAATTTCCACAAGGTCCTGTTCTCATTCTGCAAAAGCCAGGTAGGCATCCACCAATTAATGATAACCCAACTACAATGCTGAATAACAGCAGCCACAAAAATAACAAAAACCAACCAAAAATAAATAAATAAATAACAACTCAAATCAATAAAACCATAAACTGCTTGCATTTCCACCTCAATTTTCTGTGTATTAATAGCTATTAACAGAAGTTTCACCAATCTCAATTAATATGCTTAAGTCTGTAACAGTGCACTCAAGCTGCTATGCAAAAAGTTGCGTTATCTAATAGCATAATAAACAAATCAAGCACCCAAAGTAGCATAAACAGGGCATAATTAATCAATCAAACAACTAAAGAGTGACAATCAAAACTTACCAGATTCTGCCAGTAATGATACTCCTCCGTACACTTTTCCCTCCTCCAAGCATCCAAATCAAAGAAATTCATCCCATAAGCCCAAGCACAGGCCTTGGGATTAAACTTCTGCTTAATCAAAGGATGCGAGAAATTCATATACTGTGCATACCTATGGAAAGACCCAAAACAAGTCTCCACCGCCCCGTTCACTTTCCCATCCATATCAATCTTCCACAACCCAGTCAAATCCTTCTGCACCACAATATCATCATCCAAAAACAATATCCTATGCAACGTAGGATACATCTCTGGTAAATAAAACCTCAAATGATTCAAAATTGACAAATACTTTGGGTTCCTAAACTTCATGTTTGTAGTATCTTTCGTGGCATTCTCAAGCGTGTTCTCAAAATAAAACTTCTGCAAGTTAGCGGATTCTAACTGTCTTAACACTGGAACATAAGATGAATTCAAAAACTTATAATCCTCAACTGCCTTAACTTCAATATGTGCTCCATTGTAATCTTTCAATTTAAACATCACCTGCATTGCTCCGAGATTCATCTTATCAGTCACCACATGGAAAACGTGTTTCCATGGCTCTTTCGCGTTTTTGGTGGCTGAATTCACCACCACGGACGCTGCAAGTACATTATCCGAAAAAATGGCGTAATGGTAAAGCTTCGGGTCCTCGAATTCAGGAGGAATTGTCTTCCCTTCATCCGTATATTTCTCCGGATGCGCGAGTCGTTCCTCCATCAACCTCATTGCCAAACAATGTAAGCTTTTAGGAATCGATTTCGCAGCGATGAGGCTGGAAAATGCGCCTTGCTTTTTCGCTTTCGTCAGTTGCTCGTTGACTGCAAAGATCGTATCTTTTAATTTCTGGATCTTGAGTTGGTTATCAAAAGATTCCTTGGCTTCCGAGATCATTTGGCGTGTGGCTTTGATTCGCTCTTTGACTTCTTTCTCGAATTGTCGAAGCACGGACTCGTCGATGGAGAATGAATCGGTTTCGAAGAGAGCCTGATAAGATGGTTTGTTAATGAGATCAGAGTAGTTTCGAGATAGATCCGCGAAAACCCTAACGAGTTTCGAGTTTTCGAGCTTTAACTTTCGAGCGTAAGAGGCGTAGGCGAGGACGAGAGAGCGATGGTCATCGGCTTGTTTCCGGATCTGATCCAGTCGGGGCTTGAGCGGATCCGATTTGAGTGCCAAAACGGACCTCCTTGTAGATCCAACTCCATAGGAACCAGTGGAGAAACCCTATAGACACAAAGAAACGACAACGTTCAATCAGTCGTCCTGGCAATGTTCCTTTTATTTTTTTTAAATAATCTTTTAAAGAAAAAAAAATGAGAAGACCCAAAACCTTATTTAGTACTTACAAAGTTGGTTTGGAGATGAGGAGAGTGGGAGTGGGAAGTGAAGAAGAAAGAAAGAGCAAAGAAGAAACAGATTGCAACTGTAATTGCTGAAGCCAATAATCTAACTGTAAATCCAAAACCTCCAAACATTGGCCCTCCACCGCCGCCGCTTCTTGCTGTACGGTGATTCCCCATTTTTCCGATCAATCACCGGCGCATCAAAAAAAAAAAAAAGGAAAGAAAGAAACTGAAAACGAAATGATAAAAAGAAAAAGAGATAATATTGATGGTTGGCCACAACCGCAATCTCTTCACTCTCTCCTTTGTGTCGTGCGTTTGGGCTCTAACTTGGGAGACTTTCTCCTCCCGCCTTTCGGGGAAGATCAACGGCTGTGATTTCGTTTGGTTGCTTTTGGTGATAGCTGGGTGACACTTCGACTGGCGGCAAAGCGGTATCTCATGTGAACGCTCTCATTGCCATCATCATGGGTTATTTAAAAAATTAATTAATTTTTAAATGCAATAATGTTGTCCATGTCTCCTTAGTGTTCGTAATTAGTACATAAATATCAGACAGCATCCTTTTGAACAACTCAAACATACTACTATACTACTGCTTTAATCTATTTCACATTTGCATTGACACTTGACACCGACGTTATCCGTGGCTATGGGAGACCCAACTAATTATATTATACCCACGTCAAAATTTTGCTGCATGTCATATTCACATTTAGACACATTTTTCAAATTTCATCAACAGAGGTTAACTCACGCTAACAAGAGAAAAAAAGAAACCCAGAAAAAAAAAAAAAAAAAAAAAAAGAAGGGAGGATTTGAGCCAAGAAGATTACAGATAAGTGTGGTCTTTGTTGGTTTTCTCGGGTTTGGAGTTAGGATTTTTTTTTTCTAGAATATCCAACAGGATGAATTGTTTTTTTCGTGCATCAACCCTAATGCTTAGTGTCATTTCACCGGCTTAGCAGCTACAATCTCCAATATTAAGGATACGTTAAGTGTATAATTATGATAAGATAAAATAATATAATATAATAAATATAATCAAAATAAATAAATAATATTTTATTTTATATTTGATGTGTTTAAAAATTAAAATAAAATAATTTTTTTATTAAAAATTTATATAACTTAAATTATCATTGTAATTTTTAAATTTATAATAAAAATATATGTTCAATTTTATAAATTAAAAATATTTTTTATTTTTTAAAAATTAAATTATTTTATATTAAAAAAATAATTAATATTTTTTATAATCATATCATTTTTTTAAATACAAACTAAATAAAATATAAAATAATTAACATTCTATCCTATCAATTACTTTATATATCAAGCGTAATCTAAATTTGAGCCGTGGCAAGTGCAAGGGCAATCAGAGAAAGTACATCATTGGGCGGGATATGGATGGAATGAACCGGAAGCAACGCCTCAATGTGGTACGTACAACTTACAAGGATTGCTTCTTGCTATATTAAACGTTAAGATTTATAAATCATTGTGAATTTCATTCAAAATTATATATGGAACATCTTAGCATCTTCGAGTTCCACTGGCCTATTTCATCGAAGACATACTTCTTTTCTTTCTTTTAACAATCTGATGGAGAAAATGTGAGTTGTTTTACGTGTTTTAAGGAATTTGGTCTTTCTACATAGAGCAAATGTCGAAAGTTTTACCAGCCCTTTTTGCATTATCCTTCAATAAGGTGCAGCAACCAATTCCATTTGCCATGACGCATATACGAAACGTGCGCATTGATCTGATCATTGGATTTTCTAAGTTCTTTGGGCTCCAGAACCAACTAGAAAAGAAATCGGTGCATCTTGGTACACATGACCAAAGGAATGGTGCTTTTTTGTTTTGAAGCCCATGAGAATTTTAACGACCACTCTGCCCTGCCATCACCATCATTCATCTCCCTGGAAACCATGCCATGTTAAGTTGAAGCACATGGTTCTTGTCAGATAATTCAAGATAAACGACAGCTTGAGGCTGGGTTGCTAGTTTCATGTTGATCATCATTAGTTGAAGTATCAGGAAGGGTACCAATTCATTTTGAAACCAACAATGAGGACAGAACTCCATAGGAAGAACTGCCATATCTTTGTTAAACTGAAACAAAATCTTTGTTCTAAGAGGAGACGGGATGTACAAACAAGTGAATCTGATAGACTCCAGATGAAATCTACGTTATCATTCTTTCAATATTATATACTACTAATGCTTCTTGAGCACAAGATTTCAGCTATTTGGATGTTGACGTTTCCATGAAACTCTTAAGTCTTCTTTGTCATCAAATGAATTCTTGCTTCTTGATTCAAATACCCAATGAGTCAATTCTATGGATTCCATTTCTTTAAAAAGCTGTTGTTGGGTAGAAATATGTTTTTCTTTTCTTTTTCTTTTTCTTTTTTTCAAGCATAACTGAGCTGAGCACTGCAATCTGGAGTAAGATTGCATTTAATGTTCCATGGCCATCGCCAGCAAGTAGCAACCCAATTTGCTTGCTTAGCAAATAATCACTCCAGGCCACATATGGCCTCATATAACTCAAGGGCCCAAAAATTGGTAGATGATTGCTGAAAGAAATCTGATCTGAGATCCTAATTATTCAGGATAACTTCAATCTTCAGAAATGAATTATACCCTTCTTAAATTACTAGTAAAATAAGAGAGTAGATAGAAATCAAATTTTAAGCTGCAAATTTTCTATCAATAGCAGATTTGTAAGTACCAGTTAAGTTATTTTATCAAAGAGTGAAAGATGGCAACTGTCGCCCTGCCTTGGGTGGTCCAGCAGGGAATCCTTAACAAATGAAAAATATCACTTGATGGATATTAGGTGAAACTTCCATTTGGCTGTCTCTTATCATATAGATTTCTATTATGCTATATGTGACATAAATTGAAGGGCCCTAAAACCAATATTCAGAAAAACAGGTTTGCTTTAGGGGATCAATGATTTTATGGATAATGATAAAGCACCTCTCTAGGCTTTTTGATGTAATACACCATTATTATTGCTACAATTTGTAAAAATTAAAAATCTATTGCACCACTCCACACTTAAAAAGAAACACAATAGGCAATTGTTTGTCTCACTTATCAACCCCATATAAGGGGGGAAAAAAGAAAAAAAGAGTTGCATGTCAAGTGGAACCAAGAACATATTTGCTTGTGATTTTTGAGAAATACACATATCCACTATTCTCATCATCAATCATAAGTTAATAAAAGGAAAATCAAAATTCATTTGTACCTTTTCTTGCCATGCCTGCTGCTAACATGGTGCAACCATCCAATCCCTTTCAGGACCTTGGAGATTTTAACAAGATTAGACCTTCCCATTCCCAGATTCATCTTCCCAGATGAGAACTTAAGAGCCTGTAAACAGCACAAGTGTCCATCCGAGTCTTCCTCATAGTCATCCTCATCATGATCGTAGTAGTACTCGTTGCCACCTTTCTTTCCTTTTTTTGAGCTGTTTTTCAGTTGTACCTTGTTGGAATCAGTTTCATATGTCTCCCAAAGCAAATCCATCCCTTCACCTCCATCCACATTGTGTCTCTCCTCGAAAAGCTTGCATGCCAATGTCCTCTTCCACTCCTTTACTTTCCTCATTGACCCGAAATTCCCTGGATTTGATCCCATTGTTTGGTAGTTGTCTGTAACTTTGGAATTGTAATTATCTCCATCGTTTTCCGTACTCCAATTAGCTCTGATCACTCTTTGGGAATTCACCATTGCTTTGGCAGCATGCTGCTCCCTGCCATTATCAGCACTCACTTTAGGATCACTTATTTTATTCCCCATTGCCTTGGATTCCACTTCCCATGAATTCTTCTTCTTTTTGTTCCTCACCTTTATCTCCATCGTTTTCCGTACTCCAATTAGCTCTGATCACTCTTTGGGAATTCACCATTGCTTTGGCAGCATGCTGCTCCCCGCCATTATCAACACTCATTTTAGGATCACTTATTTTATTTCTCATTGCCTTGGATCCACTTCTCATGAATTCTTCTTCTTTTTGTTCCTCACCTTTATTGGACTCAACGCTTAGTGACTTGACTTCTTTTTCTCTCTTTTTAGACGACAAAGCTCCGACCCCCTCCTTTTCTTGCAAGAAGTCTTCAAAGATCTTCACTACTGCCTTTACCTGATTAGTTCCCGGACGCGTAATCTCCGCTGATTTTTCATCTAAAGTACCACTCATAAATGTTTCAGGTACATCTACACCCTTGTCAGTGGAAGCTTCAAGTTCAACCGCTTGCAAGCAATCTTCTTTGGCCTCCTGCATCTCCAAAACTTCAACGGGGGTTTCTGTAATTTCAAGAGTAGTTGACGTTTCAAACACGATCTTATACGCTTCAAGCTGTTCCAAGTATCCGAAGCCATCACTTTCATCGTCAACTTTAGACCTTAATGTTTCAACAAGTGTTTGGTAGGTAGTAAGTAGGAAACTTACCTTGGATTCTGGTAATTCGAGGTGGCACGAGCCAGCTGTGCTGACAAAGCTGGGAGTAAGAGTGAAAAAGGCAAGAAGCAAAAGAGTAGTGGTGGCAAAGAGGGGTGAAAGAAAAGAGAAAATCTTGAATAGGTAAGGAGAGAAGAAGATGAAGTAAGAGAAATAGAGAGGATGAGAGAGAACGAAAGAACAAAAGAGCATAAAGTCAGAGAGCAAAAGACTTGACAAGTGAGTTTTATTCTTGGCAGTTGTTGAAGCCAAAGAAAATTCAGACATCTTTTGGTGAAGCAAAAAACAGAGAACTAGCAGATGCTGATGGATGGGAACAGCCTAGCAGCGGAGGGAAAGAAGACCGAGGAGAGAGCGGCGTGAATAAAGGGAAGAGACTGAGGAGAGAGAGAGAGAGAGAGAGTAGAGAGTAGAGATTAACTAACATTTGACAAGAAATAAAAGCCACTTTGGAAACTTTCTCATGTCCTGTCCCACGTCCATAACCACCAACTTTATTATTATTTTTTTCTTCTATTCAGCTATGGTTTCGAGTTTATAACCAGCAAGGGACGTTTGAAGATGAACACTAATAAAATAGATTAATGGTTAGTTACAGGAGGCCAGAAAAAATTTAATTTGGCTTTCTTAACAATGAAATATCACAACTCTTTTATACCAGCAGATTTGTTCATCAGATATATATACATATATGAACATTGGTTCATGTTTTTGTCACTTTTTACCTCAAATTGATGTTAATATGGAAGGATAAATTTTATCAAATTACAAAGAATACTATCAATGAACTGTTAATCAGGTGATATTAACGTCAATTTTAAAATTAAAGATCTCAAGTTTAAATCATAGTCGTAGTCCAAGAGACAAATAACGAAGTTATTGAATATTCTTTTGAGAAAAATTTTGTTTCATATATATATATAAAAGACACGAACCAAATTCCATAAGGTTATTAGCAAGCAACATATGCACACTGTCACCTGCACATGAAATTTACACTTGATTTTTATAATATCAGATGAAGACAAATTTGACTCTTTAAGCATAAAGGAAGGCACCCTTTTTTTTTTTTTTTGGAAAAGAAAAGCTCCAGTAGCTGTTATTAATATATGTTTAAGGAAAATTCAAGAGTATTATTTCCCATTTTTTCCTTCCAGAAATAATAGTACAGTAATTCGTTTGACAATCTTACTAAAAAGATAAAACAGATATTATATTTTAATCTGCCCTATCCAAACAATGAATAATGATTTCATCAAACAATTGACAGAAGGACATTTTTTAATGAGAAATTATGAGTAATTGTCTGTACATTACCTGTCTGAAATGATGAAATTGGAACATGACAAAACCATTGACAGAAACAACCTCCTCCACTGAAAACCTTAACAGGACTCCTCATTAAAAGGCCAGATTAGAACTATTTTCACAAATTCAGCAGCATAAACCAACCCGGAATTTATAGATCAAAGATGGTCAACACCGTATCAACAATGTAACCAAAGTCACAAATTTTATTAATTCTTCTCGGGTTTAACTTCGCTAATTCTGTTCTCTCCCTGTTTTCCTGCTCAAATCTTTGGCAAAAATGGTTTCATCTTTCTGATCAGAGAAACAAAACGTCAATGAAAAACTAATATCCCGTCTTTTAAAGGGTGATCGAAAATTATGAGTAGAAATATAAATTTTATTCATATTCAATGAAATTTTTTATTTTTTATTTTGATAAAAATAGATATTGGGATAAAGATGGATAAGATTTTAAATTTTTATTGAGTATAAAAATTGAGTTAGAATAATATAATATCTGTCCCGTAACTGTATCCTATATATATTTATTACATAAATTTTTTATTAAATAATATAATTTTATTATTTTAGATTAATAAAAATTAATATATTTTTATTGAAAATATATATTTATAAAAAAATTACTTAAACATACAAGATAAAAATTAAAAAAATAAATTTTATTTTTTATTTTTTAAAAAAAATTATGGGTACAGAGATTACTTATACTCATTAAATATTCACAGAAATAAGAATAAATTTAAAATATCTATTGAGTATGAGGATAGGTATCATTTAAAAATCTTGAAATGAAAATATGAAATGCTCTACCTTACCTATTAACATCTCTAATTATGGACACTCAAAACTCTATTTGGTTTATCTTATACCATTTTGAAATTGCTTCTAAATCTAATCTCATGAAAGTTTTTAATGCAATCTTAGAAACCCACATGAATATAATTTCATCTAACCAACTAACTCCATTAATCACTACCCCACACGATTTTGCAACCTAACAGAGAGTGAAAATACACAGTAGCTTTGAGTTGAAGATTAACTCCAAATTAAGTGACGGGGACACTTCATTATATGAGAATTAACTCTAATTTAATGAGTGGACAAGTAGTGGAGCAATTTGCTTTTATTAAAAAAAAAAAAAACGGCAGTCCAACGAGATGGATTAATGCAGGAGAAAATTTAATTTAATCTATAATAAATTAGTAAGGATTACTATTATTCTACATTGTGAAAAATAGTTAATTCATGACAATGTATAAATTTAAGGGTAAAATATATATCTTAGTCGCTCTGTTATGGTGGTTATGTTTTTAAAATGATCATTTAATTATTAATTTTTTTGATTTCATCACTTAAATTTAAGTAAAAAATTTTTTTATCATTCAACCATTAGTTTTTAATGATATGTTAACGTGACACTATCATATTATTTTTTACATCAGCCATCAATATTTCACGTGATATGTCAAATAATATGATAGTACCATATGACACATGATCGTGCCCTTTCAGCACACTATTAATGATTATGATTGAGGTAAAAAAATACCTACTCAAATTAAATAATTAAACTAAAAAAAATTAATAGTTAAAGTGTCCATTTTAAAAACAAACATGTAATTAGGAGTTTAATTATATATTTTACTCTAAATTTAAATACATTTTTATATATTATTTAAGATAAACTAAATTTCAATGAAAATTATTATTTATGCACCATCATTGAATTTTATTTAAAATTTACAAATGAAATTAGAATGTTAGGAAATATTTATTTAATTATTACAATAATTTGATAAAATTTTTAAATATAATTTAATGAAATGTGTAATAATATTCAAACCCAAAGTTCCATCTTTTATGTATAAGATAGGATAAGAATTCTTGGAGTCAATATTACAATTAGCTGGGAGGAGACAAAAGGGGTGATCGAAGGTGATGGAGGTTGGGAGCTTGGATTGGGTGCACATGGTAAAGGCAGGCATTCATGGGCAATCAAGTGCAACGCCATGCATGCACCCCTTTGCTTCTCAGCTCAGCTTTGCATCCTTTAAAAGACCTAAATGTCAGTAGTTGTCGTTTTTTGGTTCTACCCTCTCTCTCTCAGAGGATGCTAATGTTAATGTGATTCTTTTCACACGCTTCCTTTGCCCATGTTTGACTACAAAAATCTTTCATTGTTCATTATAAAACATTCGCTGTCCCTAAGCGTTGGTGAAAAAGAAAGATGGCTTAGCAAAAAAAGATTTTAAGAATTTTCTTTTCTCATTTCGTCGGAGTTAAAGATAACAATCTAATCAGATTTCTCACCATCTCTAGACCATTCGTCTGCCCTAAAAACAATTTCACCAAGCATTGTTTCTATTTTTACTATCATAAAGAGAAAGTACAACTTTCTTTAAAATTTTACTATTTATGTACTATTAAGACAGATCGAAACTACGGGAAAATACTAATTAAATTTCAACAAGGATAAAATCAAAACTTTTCTTAAGCTCATAGTTATTAGATACTAGTACCAGCAAAAAAAGGTTTTTAAGGAATTCAAGAATTTTCGTACTAGCTATATAGATAATAGTTCATAGTTGAACTAATGACACTTTATACTAACCTTGTTGGCTTCCAGGACATTGTTCGGAACACAGAATCCAAGCAAACTCTGAAGAGACATAGCAATTGAGATATCAACCCCTAACCTAACTCGAACTGAGTTTGTGATGGCATAAGAATCTAAAACCGTATGCATGTAAGCATTTCGCATAAAATCCATGTGCGACACAATTTATGAAAGTATGCCAACATCGCAAGGCAGATGCGTCTCTCCGTTGCCAATCCTAAAGCCCACTCAAGCCTAAAACCTGAAATTTCTTGATAGAATTAATTTCCTCATTGCAGATATATCAATGAATATTCCACCACAAATTGAAATAACATTCTGAAAAAACAGATAAGAAAAAGTTCATTCCACCTCAAACCAGAAAAACATTATCATTGCATTTTGACACATCCACAACATATTAGAGTTCTCATAACAGTTATCCTAGCATTTTAAAACATTTGATACCCTCTCCCATCCTAAAGCATACTAAATATTAAACCAAAGGCTCCTACTACTCTGTCATAACTGGCTTATTCTCACTTGCTTTGGGTTTCTGTTCCTTAGGCTTCTGCTCCTCCATTTTCCTGAAAGGTCAAGCAGCAGTTACATCCACACATTAAAAGTATGTCATCATAACAAAACCTTCTCTTACAATAAGATTTCAGCAAGTCAAGGTAAAATCCAAAGTCGCAGATTGTAAAATGATGCATAAGAAAACCACCACATAATCATCACTTATATAATAAGGCAAAAAACATGAGAGAAGAAATAAGCACTTAAAACAGTATGGCAAGCTAAACTAGCAAACAGAAACAGATCTTTCCTCTGAATTGTGAACACAACCACGTGAAAGAAATAATTCAGTGTTGTCGGTTAAAAAGAACTCGCCAGAAAACATGCTTCAGTGAGTGTCACAGAGAGAGCGAGAGAGCAATAAAAGTTTCCGAAGTTGTAAGCTGCTGCTGGTTATTGCATAGTGTCCAGTAATGAATAGAAGTTAAAGGTCATATAATTAGAAGCACCAGTTTCAGGAACCATAATTGTCAGAAGCATTTAAAAGATTATCAAGCAAATCCTCCTAATTTCAGATAAAATCAATCACACAATAAACCAGCTAGCTAAACGCTGTGCAAATAGAACCACATATTTCAACAAACTAGAGGCAAGCCATCTTGCCCTAAACATCAGATTCATGCCGCTCACAATCACAATCTTTCGAAAAGCTTTCATTCTAATCCGCTGCCAAATAGCTGGAAAACATATTTTTAAATAATTGAAATAAACATTTAGTATAAATTATCATTGTCAAGTTTCAGCTGGAGTCAAAAGGAAGCACTTGATAAAATTTCCCCTTTGACCAACGCCGCCATTAAAATAGCTAATAGAGCTTTAACCTTTTTTTTTTTTTTTTGCAACAACCATAAAATCAAAAAACCCATCACCGTTTCATACTTATTCAATCCCAATGAATATAACCATTCACGTTAATCACATTGAAAGATAACGAGAGAGAGAGAGAGAGAGAGAGAGAGAACCTCTTGTCGGAGGAGCCTCCCTTCTGGCTGAGGAATGAGCGGAAGAGAGGAGAATTGACGTCGTAAATCATTTTCCAAGGAAACCCTAGCTGACGCTCTCGCAGCCTTGTATAAACTTCGCTGTTAGAAATTAGAATAGAGGTAAGGATTTTAACCGCCTTTCATATCGGGACCTTCAATTATTATGGATTTTCAGATAATATTTAATTATTGTTGGGCCCTGCCCTTAAATCTGTTACGATTCGTGAGTTTCGGCTTTCGCATGGACTTTAACCCAAGTGACAGGCTCTTTAGAATAAAGCCCACGCCAAAGTTTATCACTTACTCTTGATTGAAAAAATGAAAAGGGTTTGAGCATGAAATTTTTGTTAGCTTAATGTTAAAATTTATAACTACTTTTTTATTTTATAGTTTAATGATTTGATTAACAAGTTTTCTATCATTTACTCTTTTCATTTTTCATATCAAATAAAATCCTATTATCTTTCGATAGAGAAATAAAAATATTATCCTTTGATAACGTAATAAAAATTTTTTAAATATCGTGATATCATTTTATGATTGAACTCAATCAATCATACAATATAATTATAACGTAATATAAATTTCTCTCACCCTACCACCAAAAGACTCTTAAACTTTACTCATGAATGCTATCTTGTATCTCTCATTAAATTATTAAATTTCTAATTTACTCCATACCCAAAATTTAATAAAATTGAAATGTAAAGTATAAAAATTACATATAATTTTAATATTTTCAATCACAATTAATGTTACAAAAAAATAAAATTTACATAATAATATTCATATAATCAAATTACTTCTACCATTGATTTAATAAATTATGAGTGTTTTGATTATCATAGTTTTTTATTTTCGTTCTAGTTACTTAATAATATTTTTAGCATTTATTTTTGCCAACATTTAATAAGAAGCTTTCATCCTTGTAATTTTATTATTATAAATCTCATCACGTTAATCTCATCATTTGTTAATTTTAGTATCAAACTGAGCCATAATGTCAAATAGTTTCATTATGAAGGCAAATTACCTAAATGTCAAAGATTCCATTTGAGAAGTAAAATTCCAAAAATGGTAAAAAATACTACTACAAGTAATGATCAAAAGAGATACTATTATTTGTATTTTTTTGGCCGATATGTTTCTAGTAAAAAAGTTTAATTATATGATATAGTGGTATTACGTTGAATTTTTAATTTTAATAATTAGAAAATAATCATTAATATGTTTAATTAAAAAATTTTATTTTTATAAAAACAAAGAAAATAAACATTTAATTATGAAAAAATCTTCTTATACCATTGTAAAATTTTCAAAATTTACACCTTTTTCATCAGTTGATCTACGTACTTCAAATGGCTAATAAAAGTCAGCCCATCATTGATCGTTTAATTACCTGTTTTTCCTCTCCTTCTTCCAAATTCTAAATTAACCATTATATATCATCCTGTTTTTTCTTTTCAGTTGCCTAAAATTTATCATTTTTAATATGCTTTTTATATTGCAAATTCAGCTAACAGCAACAGATTTTTGGATAAATCATAAAATGGAGAAAATTTTTTTTGAAAAGCCTTCAATCTAAAGGCATTGTCTATAACAGATGATTGCTTGACGGTAACAAAATCTCACTCCTTTCCACTGCAACATTGAAATGGAAAGTTGACGCCATCATCCAACCACAAAGTAAATATAATAATTTATAATATTGTATCTATAAAATATTATATATATTATATTTTATATAAAAATTATATATTATAATTTATATTAATATAAAATATAAAATTTTAATTTTATTAAATTTATTTATAAATTTTTTAAAATTTTAAATTATTTATTTATATTATTTTTATATTATATCATCGTATTTTGAATTGTTACATCAGCGGTAAAACAAGCAGGCGAAACCGGATCATCCAAAACTCGGCGCACAGCCAAATCTACGTACAGAATCTTCCATTGATAAAAAACTTTTTGTCACCAGTAACTTTAGTATCCACGTCCAATGATCACAGCCGTCCGATGCATTTAATTATAAAATATTAAATAAAAGCACGTGCCCTTCCCTCAGTGGACCCCACCTTCAATATTTCTTCTTGTTGTTTGACCACCAATCAAATTACAGTATGAAAAGTCAATCATCAAGCGGCTAGGCTACTGTCGGTACACGACATGTGTTAACACGTGTTTTATACGGTGGAATGGGCTATCTACCGCATTGGAATTGGATTGTTTTGTTGGTTTTGACAAGGTTTTAGTTTCTCCACTTTTAGGCACCGTTTTAGAAACGTCACTATAGTTAAGTCTGTGTTTTATGACTTAACTTTTATTTATTTAAGGCGTTGATACGTACGTGTAACACTGTCAACATGTCTCGTGCTGAATACCTGATTTTTTTTTTTTTAAGTCAGTATGTTATTCTAATCGTATTTGATCGCAATAGTTAAGTTTGACCTACATATAATCAAATAAATAAGATTTATTTTCGTAATTAATTCTATCTATTTTTTAGAATTAATCCCAATTTGTAACTATTGTATCCTAATCTTCAATTGTAATTTTCATCTATCTTAATTTTTTAAAAAAGTTCAGAATTTAATATAAAATTTTACATGCATGTAAATGAAGTAAATATGAAAAAAAAAATGTTTTCCTTATATATAGAATCCAATTAGAGAATAGATTATAAAATTATTATTGGTACATGGGAGTTAAGCCAGTTTAATCTGTTTGTTTTTATATATAAAATGATTTTTGGCCTACGTACCTACTAATGATGTCTTAATCATAACTGGTTGAACCACCTATTTAATTAATTAAAGTGCAATGAATCAAGTATTTCATGCAGGCTTTGTGTTAAAAGTAAGAAAATAGATTATGCCCTTTATTGTTTTTTGTCCTATAATTGTTTTTCTAGCCAACTGACTTTTCAAAATGTCTTCTGAATCTTTCAACTGGTTAACGGAGTTAATTTCTTCATGTTTTACATCAAGATAAAGAAAGCTCAAATTACAATGGCTCTCAGGTATTAAAGCATTGTTGGAGAGTAGACTTCAGTTGTCAGGATTTGATCATCTTCTAGGTCTCCTTCTCACTTGGTCAGATTATCAACTTGATGAATTTTTTACAAGAAAATTAGATAGAAATAGAATTATCATCAATGACATTTGGTTACCTGCTTTTGCACTCTTATGTGGAATTTCTTTCGCTTGAAGAGTCTGATCACTGACCAGCTTTCATTCAGCTGCTGAAGTAAGTTAGTCAATCCCCTCCCAATCCTTTCAAATTCTTCAATTATTGGACAAGGCACCTTGGGTTTATGAAAATTGTAGAAAACTTATGGCGGATACCTATTTCTGGCATTCCCATTTCCCATGTCCATTTTGCTTAGAAAACTGAAAAAGGTTAAAACAAGAGTTGAGAAGTCTTTGGCATTATGAAAAATGACTTCAAAATGACATTTAAATAGTTAAAACCTAAAAACTTTATAAAAAAAAAAAGTCTCAAATTCGAATTTTGTGATGAATAAGATTGGAGAACAAAGAAGCATACATAAAAGGCCGCCTCCAATTTTCTAATATAGATTCATATACATATAAAAAAAATAAAAAAAAATTTAAATATAGTCTTTGTAACAGGTATAGGGAATGCAAACTTCAAGTTTGCATAAAATATACGTTGTATACAGTGTATGTGAGTGTGTGTATATATATATATGGCTAAAATATATTTATTTGGATAAAACCCAGTTTTGAACTTTTAGTAGAAAAATGATCATGTGTATAATTCTGACCTTGAAGGCACCTATATATATATATATTTATATTTCCTCCATGGACAATTTCAATTTGCAACCTTCAATAATTTTATACTAACTACCCAGCAAGAAAAGTCTATGATGTGGAACCGGGGGCACGCTTTCGTTACTAAGCCACCAACCCATATTAAAAATCTCATGGCCATCCCAACTTCAAATTACTTTACCTCACTCTCATTACGTGAGTTCTTTGAGAGTTAAAAAAAAAAAATTTTTTTCTTCCAAGTTTATAGAGAAAAATAAAATTTCTTTTCAGGACTTATGACTTTCCTTTTATAATCTCATGCCCGAACTTGGTTTTCTTATGACCCATTGAACTTCACATTGCATGTATTTCAAGGACAGTGAGTTATAACTCATAAGCCAGAACAAAAAAAAAAAGAAGATGAATAGCCAAACCTTGATGTGACAATTGATTTTTCTTTTTTTCACGAGAAACAAAGGGAAAAAAGTATAAAAAAGGAGCTTGGTTCTGTTAACTGGTCAGTAAATTAGCTTCCCTATTATAAATTCTTGGAATCTATATATCAACCATAAAAAGCTTGGAATATATATATGAAGTTAATGGCGGAAAAAGGCTTTAGGGTTGAGGTTGGCGGGACATTATCCACACAGCTTGTATGGCAGGCCGCCCATCCAATCAGAGCACCGTCGGTGCCCTCGCTCGCTACCAGGTACCAACCAACCCACACCACACTATTAATAATTTCTCTTAGCCCCTTTGTCCACCCTTTGCTTTCCCCATTTTCTCCTCTCTTCTCACCCCTTTACCCGCCAGCTTGGCTTATAGTGTCATATGACATGATTGCCCTCCATTCCAATTAACCACATCACATTCTCTAAACTCCAATTCTTGACTTTTAAATCTGACAGTAAATATTTTTGTTCTTTGGATTGGCCAAAACAAGAAACAACACATTTGAGTTGGCTAGCAAAGCCACCGGGACCAGTAAATTGATGGGTACTCTGTTCAGTTTCACAATGTGTAATGTAAGAATGGGTTTGATGTTATAACCTTAAGCTTGGTCTAAGTACCTCTAACCAATCCAAAATCATTATGCACACATGTGGTAGTTTTCCAGCAGAAGAAATTCAAGGAACTTGATGTGACATGTTGATTTTTAAATTGTATGATGATTTCCAGCTAGCCATATATGAAATTCTTTGAAAAATAAGAGGCTTGAGTCGTTTGACCAACTTTTAGTTTCATTTTTATTATTCCGTTTTAAAATATTTGTCATGTATTAATTTTTATAAAGTTAAAAAAATTTGATTTTAATGTTTTTAATATTAAATTTTAAAATTTTTTATAAAATTAAAATTTCATGATTTTAAATGTCAAAAAATTAAAAATTGATTAAAATAATTTTAAAATATAAAAAAAATAAGACGTAATTTTAAGACATCATAAAAAAAATGGAACACAAGGAATATATGGCTAGCAATTTTATGCCCTAGTAAGAAAATAATAAGGCTTAACAAGGGCTAAGGAAAAAGTCTCAAATTTTTTAACTCTTTTAAGATTTATTTTAACATTGTTATTAAAAATAGTTTATACTTTTAAAATTTATTTTTGACATAATTTTAATGCTAAACAATATAAAATATGATTTTTTAATTTAAAATTTGATTTGTCAATCTAAATAAAAAAACTCTTCAAAGAATACCTTTAGTGAAAAATATGTTTCAAATAAAAAATTATTAAATTATTCATACATTTTTAATATTTTAATATTTTATAATTTTTTTTAGATAGTTTAATTTCTCACAAACTTTTTTACAATAATATCAAATACTTAAAATTTTTAATCACTTTTTTAAACGGATTTTTTTATTTAAACATTTTTAATTGTGATAATAATACTAAATTAATTTAATTTTTAAAGTAAATACTAAATAGAATTAGTGTTCTTTTCCTCTTTAAAGTGCCGTAATGATATCACTTCTCCTTCCTAATTCGCAAAATAATTCATGCTTCAAATTCACCTAGCTATTATCTTAAAAAGGAAAGGTGAAAACCAAATGACAGCGGGAGAATTATATTTATAATTTATTTTTTATAATTATATAATTATTTAATTATAGCAATAGTTATATAAAATTCTATTATTTATAAATGTGAATATTTATTTTGAATTTTATATAATTTTAAATTATAATTAATTAATTATAATATAATAATTATAAATAATATGGAACAAAATATTTAAAGTCATTATGCAGCGTGAGTAAACGCTCATCCTAATTGAAAAAAAAAAAAAAAGTTAGCCCTATAAAAAGAATATTCCTTTTAGCCGATCATTAAAAGTGATTGTAATAACTGCTTGATTAAGATGTGATTGCATTCAAAAAGAATATTTAGTAATAACAAGATTAAAATATTAAAAAAGCTTCTGAATTATTTTATTTTTTTAAATAAATTATTATATTTTTATTGTAATTAAATAAATTTTTATTTTTTATTAGTATTTAGTATTTATTTAAAATTTTATTTTAAATAAAAGATTAATTTATATTAAAACTTATTTAAGAAAAAATAAAAATTATGTACTTATTTATTTGCAAATTAAAAATTAAAAGTTAAGGGTTTATATAAATTAGGGATATTAATGGATAAGATACAGGACGAGTAAAACATTATCCATCCACATTCTTATATTTAGATTTTTATATTATATTCATTCCGTCTAAATTAAGAATGTCAGTAGATAAAGTATAAAACGAGTAGAGTATTCCCCATTTTAATCGCCATCTTTATCTCTAAATTTTTATATTTTATTCATTCCCATACCGACACTCAATAGGTATTTTTAATGTATTTTCATATTTATTTTCGTAAATATTTAATGAGATGGTTAATTACTGTACTGATGGCTTTAAATAAAAATAAAAACAAAATTTTTATTTTTATCTTGTATATTTACGTAAATCTTATAAATATATACTAATATATTTTTAAATAAAAAATATTATTTTAATTAATCTAAAATAATAATTTATGTTATTTAATAAAAAATTTATTTACTAAATATAATAAAAATATGTAGGATAGGGATATAATGTGAGTGCAATATTACCTATATTCCAATTCCAAATAAAATTTAAAATCATATCCATCTTTATTTCTATCCCCACAAAGTAATATTTATTCTCACTCTCATTTTGATAAAAATTTGAGTTTTTATTAGAAATGAATAAGATCAACATTTTTGACAAAGTTTAAGGAATTTTTTTTAATTTTAATCCAATAATAAGTATGACATTTTGTACAAAATAATCTCAATAATTTTTTTTAAGGAAGACAATATAATGAGACAAACATTATTTTAAGCCACATTAATCCTATTTATCCTTTTAAATATAAGTTTTACTCTTATATCTAATTGTCTCTACGACTTTGTTTTCTAATTTGCTAAAAAGAAAGCCAATATTCCATATCAACCTATTTAAAAATAAACAAAAACAGAAAAATAAAATTGAAAATATTAGCTCATACTAATTCTTTGAATTAGTGATTATTACATACATTTTAAGAATTTTTATAATAGATCGAAATATGTTTAAAAAATTTATTTGGATTTAATTTTTTAAAAATAATTTAAAAATACATTCTCTCACATCAGCTTATTACATTCAAGACATTATTCCATATGATTGATAAGGAAATGAAGCTTTTTTTTTTTGGTTGTCAATTGGATATGGTTTCCTTCTTTAAGAGAATAATACACTAAAGAAATAATCCAGCTTAAAAAAATATATCATATAAAATCAAGAGGGTATTTAGGGAAATCTAAAGCAATGTGGTATTTGGAAAGAAAGAGAGGGGCAATAGAGGAATCATAGTTGACTACAGACGTTGTCCTTTTCGTATTCAACTTTCTTTCTCTCTCCAAAGACTTGGCCTGTGGCTCGGCTGTTGCCTTTGTTTGGCCTTGCTTTGTTTTGATTTTTTTTCCTATCTCTCCCACCGGCAGCTCCACCACCCTTTCATTAATAAAAAAAAAGGGCTTTCACTCAATACTCAGCAAAGTTTAACACAAAAACAAACAAACAAAAGGTGGTAGATGCATGAGCCACCACCACAACAACACCAGCACCAACTCCTTTAAAACACTGTTCTTTTCTTTCGCCATTTTCCTTCCTTCCCTTACCAACAAAAAATCCTGAATTTTTTTTACCAGATTTTAGTTTTGACCTTAGAAAACCCGTGTTTCTCTCTTTGTTTCTCCTCGGTTTTTACACTGTGTCAACCACCACCTTTTCTTTCTCTTTTTCAGGTACCGAACACAGGATATGACCAATGACTTTTCTTTTTCGTCTATTTATTTATCTTCTTCTTTGTAATGGGTTGTTTTTGAGGTTCCTGGTCTTGGAGTCATGGCCATTTTTGGCTTTGATGGGCTTGAAGGCTTTGGCTTTGTGGATTTTTTTCCTTTTTGATTTTTGTGTGTTTTGGGGTTTGAGTTTTGTGTTGGTCTTGTTTTTTTCTCTGCCTCTGCGTCCATGAAGGTGGTAGGTTGGTGGGGTTGACTTATTTTCCACGGAGAGATAATTGGGATTTTTCTTAGGCAGACTTATTGGACATCTATGTTAGTTTCAAATGATGAAAGTTTTGGCTTTACTTTAGGCAAATTATGATGAATTTATCTTTTTTTTTTTTTTTTACATAAAAAAGTATGGCTGAGCTTTATGTCACCTTGCCGCCTTATCCGGAGCCTGGTTAACTTTTAGAAGTTAATACCATTTCATATGAATAGGGGGTGACTAAAAGCGCTTCATGCGATTTGCATTGGTTTGTTCATATTATTCTCTAATTCCATATATGAATGATTTCTGTTTTACCAGCATCAACTCTGTTGTCGTTTTTTAGAAATCTAATCACATGGGATTTAGCCCCCGCTTGTCAATGTAGCATTATTGAACTCAAACGTACGTGATGATGAGAAAATAGTTGGTTGTCAGCCAACCGAATTCTGTAAGAAGTACTTGTGGTTGATTTTAATATTTGATATCAAAAAGTTGATTAACGTATGGGAATTTCACCTGGTAATTCCATTTTCCTTGAATTTTTTTGTCTAAATCGCATAGGTGCGTCAGATTTCTTGAATTGACTCTTTGTTTTGATGGCTTTCCTTGTATCTGTTGACGTTTTTCTCCTTTTGCTCTATAACTATGATAGGTGATATCTTGTTTACTCATCTTATAATTCTGTTTCCTATATCGCTCAACTTTTTGTTTTTATCTGCCATCTTGTTCATTTTCTGATATATTCTTCTTTAATGTTTTGTCATTTTCAAATTGTCTAATCCACTTCTAACTCGCCCATCTTTGTTAATATTAGGCGCACAAACACAGGGATAAATGCAAAGGACGATCAACTAAACCATTGTTCATTGATTAAAGGATTGGCAATGGTAAGCTTACGCAGACGCAAGCTCCTGGGACTCTGCGCTGGTAAGCTTTGGTTGAGATGTATTTTATTTTGTATGATTAATTGCTTCTATTGATAACAATGAGTAGGAACATTTACTATAGTATGTACTATTATGTAAAGTGTTTCCTTCAATTCTTTGCTTTTGTGTCTTTTAGGGTCAGCGTGTTTGAGTGAACTACTTATATAAAATGTAATGGAACAAGTTCTAAATTATGCTTGAATAATTTCATTCACCAAGTTTGGTGACCTTTTTTAGGGAAGAGTTCCTTTCTGACTCCACTTCCTAGATTTTTTGATAATGGATATGCTCCTGAAAATTCAAGTCGGAATGCGAAATCAGTCAGTGTGCATCCCATGCCTTCAGATTCCATCAACCACATGCATGGGGTAAGAATGCATTATTAATCAATCGATCAGATATAATGTCAAATGTTTTCACGATTTTACTTTGAGTTCTTGGTTGCATTGATATGAGTTGATTTTATATTACTATTTCTTTTACCATTTTGTATGAACGTAGCAGCTTACAGAGATTCTTTTTATCTTTTTGCCCCTGGGCTATGGATGCCTGCCTTAATATTATTGACCACTTTGACATATTTATAGCATCCAGCATCTTCAATGACCAGCATGCATAGAACGCACAAGAGTGGCTCTGGGGTGTCAGGTTCATTATGTGTTCTTGAAAAATAAAAAGAAGAGAGGAAAGGATACGCCATTATGGGTCTTCAATCATAGTTCATTTCCCCTTTCTTTTAAACCTCTGCCAATCTTAAACTGGTCTTGTAACTTAGCTTTGTCTATAATTATATATTTACTGGTGTGTTTTTCACAATATAATGATTCTAGGAGTGAGTCATTTCATCCCCCTTTGTCCACAAAAGGGGAAAAGGAAAGACCATCTGTCATTATGGAAGAATTTCTTCTTCCTTGTAGTGGATCTTGTTTAATTCCATGTTTTAGGAAGGATTGGTAATATGCAATAACGCAAACATGAAAGAATGTATCCTTAGTTGATAATTACTGACAGAGATTACATTTTATCTTCATCATTGTTTTGCTATCTATATTTTCATGGTAGCTGGTCACATCTGCATCTTTTCATGTGATTGGCCAATCTTCATGGTTGGTATGGTGGTTATAGTTATGTGAATGTCCAAGCCATTTGTTGGTGGCATGTGTGGTTATGTTATATAGCAGTGAGCTAAAAGGTGGATCCATGAGAATAAGTATGACATGGTATATGCTACTTGTTTTGACTCGTTTAACTGAGCTGGATATGGAGGAATGAAAAGGATATGATGAATCCATTAACTGTTGATGTTTGGTCAGTCATGGCATCCTGGGGCATCCATTCTTATTAAAAAGTTTATTTAATGTCTCGTGGTTTCTTTTTGAGCTAGAATCACTGGGTAAATACTAAATAGTCAGTTGTCAATTAAAATGGTATTTAAGTGCCCTTGTTTTTAGCATACTGGAACTCTATTCTTGATTCAGAGTTGCTTTAACTTGTAAGGTAAAAAAGTGCAGTTCAGAATCTGTTTCATTGTTTGTTTAAACCCTTTCTGTAATTTTAATTCATATATATATATATATATATATTTGCTATTTTTGAGTTTATTTAATTGGCATGGATCCAAATGAAAGTTCTTTGTAAATTTATTAAATGATTCAGGTTTTCGATGTCATGATAGATAAATACAATGTGGCATGTACTGTTTAATTTCTGTTTTTCGCTAAACACTTACATGTAACTATTTGATACTGTTTGTCAGAAAAGCATTGCTAAGGGTGGCTCCGGATCATCAAATGTTTCCGCTTATGGTTCATCAAAAGAGCATCATAATCAACCTTTTCCAGGTTTGTCTCTTTGGAAACACGTGTTCCATATGTTTGTTAATTTTGATAAAGCTGGAAAATTTTTACTTGTTTATGACTTGCTGTTGGTCTTTCCTTCCTTTCTCCCCCCTCCTTAACTTTCTTCTCTTTACATGTCTATTTTAGTAAGATAGAAAATGAACAAAAAATATAGTGCCTTTCTCTCACTTCCTTTGTCTCTGATGCATGTACAAAACACATAAAATTGGGTAATTTTAATGAAATAGAGAAATTGTATACAAGAAGGAAGTCAGTTGAAAATTTATGTTTTATAAGATGATATTAATGGGTTTCCAGCTTATCAAATTCCTGATGCAGCTGATCTGAAAAGGTAAATTGGCTGGCTATATGTGCTCTTTTGGGATTAATGGAATCTAAGCATTTGGAAATACTAGCTTATACTCATTGATGAGTTTTATGTCATGTTTGTTTACTATTCCTCCATGTTCAGATTTAAATGGCTAGAAAGAAGTGCATCCCTGCCCTATTTGCATTTATGATGGTAAAGCCTGTATTAATATTGAGATGGTTTAATTATGTTGTGCAGATTATGCTAAAACCCTCCAAAAGCTTACTTCTTTCCTAATGCCCTTTGCTTTCTTGCTTTCCGTTCTTGCCTCTCACTAATTGTTGTGTATCCCAGAATTGAGGCCAGCATATAAGCTTTATACATGTGCATAGGAAGAAAAATAAAATTATTGTACAATTTATTCGTCAAAGTTTCATAGTTGCGACAACATTAGTTCAAGCAGGACAGTACGGGAAACTACTGTCTAGAGAATCAACGATGTGAAATGATGCTATCAAAATGACTTGATCTGCAGTTATTTTGTGTGCAAATTGGGACTTTTTTATCTTATGTATTAGAATCCTGTTGATGTGTGCATTTTGGACTTTTCTTTTTATCTTCAATTGGGGCTATGTTAGAGTTTGCTTGTGATAAATGTCATGTTTGACATAAATACATAAGCAATTATCGGAAGAGAGTTTTTAACCCCTATTTAATGTCTCTCAGAACTGAGTTCATGCCATGGTGCTTCCAGATAAAACATGTCATTACTCATCAGCATCAAAATCTGATTCTGGGAGCCATTTTAATTTCTACATTTCGACTGATGCCCATGTACAATTTTATTATCTGTAGGACAACCAATCAAACGCAGGAAGCGACACAGGAGGAAGCATGTTCAAAACCAAGAACCATGTCTAATGAGGGGTGTATACTTCAAAAATATGAAATGGCAGGCTGCAATAAAAGTTGACAAGAAGCAGATTCACTTAGGAACTGTTGGTTCTCAAGAAGAAGCTGCCCGTCTATATGACAGGTAATAAGTTGGCTTTTATCTTGCTTGTAATGATTGCTACTACAATTTGTCTAGAAACTCTGATCACTATTTGTAGTACAAATATTATTGTTCAGTAGCATGAAGTATGAAGGTTGGATAAATTAATATAAATACAAAAAACTTTAAGCTTTATATGTAATAGTCTGATAAGAACATTGAATTGCTAAAAGAACAAGTGTTATTCATTTATTTTCATACTTGCCATGGTATGAGGTAAAATTGTTCTTCTTCATGTTATTAATGAATTTCTTTGAAAGTCTTCATGTGTATTGATGATAAATACAATAAAAGTGCTTTACATATACAAATTAGACAAGAACATGAGATGGTATGTATGAAAAAGTTGCGAAGGTATATATGATGCCTAGCCTCTCTATGTAAAGGATTAGTAAACAGCTATATAACTTACTGTCTTACAGTCTTACAGAGTAGTTATATTGATAGATAGACTGAGGGATGTTGAAACTCATTGGTAGATATTTTTTGTCTGTAGAGCTGCTTTCATGTGTGGAAGGGAGCCTAACTTTGAGCTACCAGAGGAGGAAAAGCAAGAGCTTAGGAAATTTAAGTGGGATGAGTTTTTGGCATATACTCGCCGTTCAATTACCAATAAAAGTAACCTTTTCTTTATGGTTTCTAACCTTATTTTCTTGGCTTTTATAATTTAGATATTAATTTAAATGATGATATTACAGAATACAAGCGAAGGCTTGGGGTTGAACCAAAAAAGAGGTCGGAACCTGCGATGGAGAACAGTGACTGGGACAGCAAACAAGGAGTCAATAGCTTCTCAGCTTCAGAAGAAGTGGGGCCAGACTCTTCAGCTTCATGAAAAACAATGGTTTGAGAGTGAGGCTGAATAATCTGGTTTCAGTAATTAAATTCTAGTTGCATGTTCTCCATTTTTGGGTGTATAAAAGGCCCCTATTAGAGCGAAGTAGTATATAGATTTCATTATCTTCCGGTAAGCAGATACCTATAGTGTTTAACCCCGTAATAAGTGGTAAATATTAGTTGCATTATTACCCTGATCATGAATCACCATTGTTGTTAGACAGATGAAAGGCATGCAAAGATAGGGAGTGCCTTTGTTTTGTTTAATTTTCCCCCAAGCAGAAGCCAATCCAGAACTTGTTTTAAGGTCATTGTTGCTGTCCATGTACAGCAAAATGCAGAATGCTCGAAAAACTGTCTCCAACAAGTATTAAAAATCCGTCCTAGTTACGAGCATGCCAATTGTACTCTTGTCTCTATGGTTCCATCCGCTATTACTGTGGGAGACGCCGGGGGTTCCTGTCCTGCTCGGGTTGCCCTGTATTTGAAATTTCTGTGTTAAAAGCATAAAAATGTAGAGTAAAAGAAAGTTGGTGTACTGTGCTCAAGAAATTTTTTTTTTTTTTTTTTTCACACCTATCTTTGCATTACAGCTAAGGAATTAAACCAAAATTTCTTTTAAAAAAGAAACTATAACGGTCTATTTGTTTCACTAAATTAACTTTAAAAAAAATATTTTGGAAAAAATATTTACAATTTTTTTGAAAAAGTTGAGATTTTTGGTTATTGGAATGAGTCAATGAAAACTATTTTTGTTGTTTAGTTGTTTTCTAAAATTTTTTTAAAATATTATTCACATTGTTATTAAAATATAAAAAATTATTTAATAATAAAATATATTAAAATTATTTTTACTATATTTATTAATATTAGAAAATAATTTTCTTTTAATAATCATATTTAATATTAAAATATTATATTAATATTAAACATTCAATAAAACTATTAATTATTTATAATGATATTTTAAAATATTTAAAATAGTATTACTATTATTAAAATATTATTTTTATTTGTATAATAATATTAAAATAGTAATATTTAATATTATAATATTCAAAATATTTATACTATTAAAATAATTATATTATATATTAAAAGTATTTATTACTAAATCATGACATAAATATTATTTATTTATATTTATTATTAAAATGGGAATATAAATAAATTTATTAGTAAAATATATATTTTAAATTGAAAAAATTAAAAAAAGACTAAAAATATTCATGTAATTAAAATAATATTAATATTGTACTAAATAATATTAACTATTAAAAATTAAAGTAATATTAATATTAAAATTGTTATTTGTATAATATTATTTTTTATTATTAAAATAATAATAAAATTATTATTATTATTATTATTGAAATATAAAAAGTATTTGTATTTAATAATACACAAAATACAAATATTTAAAATTAAAATATCAAAAGACTTTTAATATTAATATTTTAATATTTTAATTAAAATTAAATAAAAATAACTTTTTTGTTAGAGTTGGATCAAATCAAACTTGAGTTTAAATATCATGTCCAATGAGTGACTTGAATAGAATTATAAAAATATTAAATGTTAAAATATTAAAAATTAAAATATTAGATGGGTTTCAATATTAATGTTTTAATTTTTTTAAGAAAAATTAAATAAAATATTTTTATTAATATAATAATATTTTGAGTCAATTCAAATCTGAATTTAAAAAGTCATATCTATTATTTTGTTTGAGTAGAAAAATAATCACAAGCTTAATAAATAGTCTTATCTATAAATAGTTCTTTTATGAAAAATGTTTTCCTTTTTCAAAAATGAAAAGACAACTTTTAAAAAAAAATTATCTTATTATTCATTAATCAGTAAATTATTTTTCGTTAATCAATCAATTTTTTATCAAAAAAATACAAAATCATTTTCTATTAAACAAACTAAACTTAAGCATATAGATTACTTAAAAACCTATAAATCAAAATTTAAAATTAAATAAATTAATTCAACATTCAATTAAACTTTACCAAAATAATTCTGCATATCTAAATATGAAAACTCCCATCTCAATCCCTAAACTTTAAATTACAACATCCAAAGGTACTTTTCACCTCAAAATTTTTTTAAGAACATATGTCATTCATGTCATCATACTAAGCCATGTTGACAATTTTTTTTAGACGTTAAATGTTAAAATTTCCAATTTCTGAAGATACAAATAGATAGATTTTTGGACTGATAAACCAAAACTCAATAAATCTCTGGGTATTGGGCCTTTCCTTATCATAAAACAGGTCCAGATCTTACCCAACATAACTCTTCCATATTCAAAGTCCAGCGTCTAGTTTCTTCTGGTCCGTAATTGAAGATAAAAAAGACGCAAATTGAAATCATTCATTCATCAAATCTCCCTGGAATTCGCAAACACAACAAACTGAACTCATTGGACCCAGAAAAAGTTCCAAACTAAAACATGGCATCCACCAACCATCCAGGAAAATCGCCATCATCATTGCAGGTCTTTTGACTTTTGCCTTCTCTCACTTAAAACTTTGATTTTTTTAATTACTTTTTATTTCTTGAAACATCAGGATTCATGAATGTTGGTTGGCTTTGTTGTGGGTGTTTTTCTTTTTTTTTTTTTTGTTTTTAAACAGGGATTGCTGGTGGAGGAGTTGGGTTGGTGTCAAAGCATTGAAAAGTGCATGGCCTTGCTAATATTTCAGCTACTTATGCCACTAATTTCGCTTTTGTCACCGGCTGCTATTGTGGTATTTCCTTTCTTCATTGCTATTAGTTTCTGGCTATCAGCTAATTTAAGTACTTAACTGCAAGTGATCAGTAATTATTAAAGCCAAATTTTTTTTTCAATTGTAAATTAGCAAAAAAATGTTGAATTGCACTGTAATTTCAACCATAATTTGAATAAAAGAAAAACCATGAGTTTCATTATCTATAACAACCATATTTTTAATATTTAATTCTTCCAAGATATTGCTCTTTTTTGCATCTAAATGCAGCTTTAATAACAACAACCAAAAAGAGTCTTACAGGAATTCCTGCTACTAATTTTATGCCATTGGTTGTGCGGGTCGGTCATATTTTCTTCAGTGGCTTCATTTGTAGTCATATATAATGCAAGTCATAATATAAGTTTGCTTTGATCTTTTGAAATAAACAATGAGTTGCTTGTGCTAGTGGCAGATCCAGGATTTATTTCGGGGGTGTCCACTTATAATACATATAAAAAAATTATCAACGGATTTATCAATTTTGTTGATGGAAAGGGTGTCTATGGGAAAATTTTAGGGGTATCCATAGAAAATTTTCCTTTAAATATTCTTATTTTCTAATTTTTTGGGGTGTCCATGGACTTCCTACAACAAAGAGTAGATCCCCCTCTAGCTTGTGCTGAATTCACTTTGTGTGCAATATTTTTCCTTGACAAAGTCATTAATTGAAGTGATGTACGTGGAGAAATTGAAGTAAAGTGGGTGATTGGCTTTCTTGACTTAGATAAGTATGGCGTTGTTTGACACCATGGGGCAGTGCATTGGGGAGGGACTGAACTACGGTAGAGTACCATATTTAGGTGTTTATACCTTGGAATTTAGGTTTGATGCCTTGATGTATTTACTGTAGGGAGTTTGCTGGTTCTCATATTGTCATATTCATAAGAATCAGGAAGTTATCCTCTTCTCCGTAACATAGCTCTGTACCATATGTAGGTACACTACATTCATTTCTTGTGGTCATGTGTGAGTTAGCATCAAAATGCCAAATGCAGACTCCATTCGAGAGAAAGCCTATACCATGGATACTGAAAACTACTAAATCTTTTTCATTCTTGGCTAGTAGTAGTGTTATTGGATAAAAATATGTTACTCAGAAGGTTAATGCAGCTTTTGACTTCTGTGAAAATTCTAGGTTTTTGTGTTAGCTAATGTACCTACGGTGACGATTTTTGAAGATAGTGGGCCAAAAAGCAATATCATGTATTCTGCATTGGGAAATGCATTAAACTTATAGCAGGCATCTAAAACTTTAAGTGTAAATTGGAACCCTGCTTCCTTCCACCTTATTCTTCTCTTTAATCTGGCCATTTACATCTTCATTGTGAGAACACATGCCTTCACCCAGTTGTCTTCGGCCATTTTCCCGCCTTGCCGAGGCTAACCTGATCTTCTTCTTGAGGAAATGAAGGCACTAGGAGCTATAGGCTTTTGCCACCTGGCAGATTCAATAGTGGATGCTTTCGTACAACAGCACCATATGTCTTGCAAACTGTTACTTAAATTGGAAACTGTAATAATACCTTTAATTTGGCAGAAGCCCATGAATTAGTAAGAGCAACTCGTGAAACAGGACCTGATGATCTACTGAATTCTGCAGTTGCTGGATTTGGAACTGGTGCTGTACTGGGTCGTCTACAAGGTAAAGTTTTGTCGCTCTTTCTCTTTCTCTCTCTGTTTGTGTGCTTGTGCAAGTGTGGATGAGTATCCGTCTGCATTGCTACCCCAGATGTTTTAAGCAATTAAGTGCAAAAGTTGCTTGATTGTCACTTTTATCATCCCTCATGATGTCTCTTTTAAAAGGTTTCTTCTTTGGCATTTTAGCTGGTCGCTATGTACTCATCTTTGCTGTTGTTGGGACGGCAGTAGATTTTGCTGCACTTAAGTTAAGACCTAAATTACGCCTCTTTAGTGAATCTATGTTTGACAAGAATAGCGGTTCATTGAAGTTGCCAGAATGGTCTCCTATACAAGTGCTTGATGAAGAAGCCCTTGCTGCAAAACGAGCTCGAGAAGAAAAACTGTACACACGAAGAAAAACTCTAAACAAAGAAGAATCATGAAGGTGGGATATTATTCATGTATTAGTGCTTATATAATTATCAATAATAATGCTTTGGATAATGCTAGTTCAGATATTTGGCAGCTAATATTTTCTTTGCTGGAGATTAAGTTTTGGTTCCCCTTTTATTAATTTTTTGTTTTGTTTTCATAATATTGTTTGATCTTCTTGTTATATTTTGCTGTCACCTTTGTCTAAATTTGTTCTAATGAACTTTTTTGAGAATGATTATAACGTCTTTGTTTGCTTCATTGTTGAATATGACAACCAACGATTCTCTACAAAAAATTTGCATGGGTTATGCTTTTCCTGCTTGTAATATAACTTGACAACAAATTTCTGTCAGTTTTGCCTTTTGGACTATGGGTTGCAACTTGCTGGCGGATTGCCAATGGAGTCCATCGAGGGAAATGAACCTTGGGGTTAGGCATTTGTACGTTCCATGATTCCTCCAGTATGCCCGATGCTCTAGTAATCACACGGTTGTGACAACCACTCCAAATACCAAAGTTGTGCATGTGGGTGACTGTGGTTTATTTAAATAAAGACATGACCAAGTTGTTCGCGAAGCAACTAATTTCCAAAGGCATGAAAGGATGCAAATGTAACCATGTTAGTTTACTATCTGGCAAATGGAAAGGAAAAAGATCAAGTCATCTCACTGCCTCTCCCATGACAACAATTCTGTGCAGGGAGATTAATTTTCTTAACCAAGAAGCAAAGTTCTATTACCATCAAAATATATATGCAGAAACATCTCAAAAGGCAAATTTTGGGATATCTCAATGATCAAAAAGGAATAAAAAAAACAGAAAAGAACATTCTTCTCTTTCTGCAATATTTGAGATATCTTAAAACTTCTAACATTTCTCTTGAGCATCTCTAGCTCTTTCTTATTACTGGTATGTGATGCTTCCTCCAATCTGAGTGGTGACCCTTCTGTTGCAAGAATCAGTTTGTATAGATTGGCTTTTACAGAGGTATTCTTCTCCCCAAGGTTGAGCCTCCCCTGTTTCTACATGATGGTGTAATCCATCATACTGAAGGCGTGGCCTTTTTGTAGATTTCTCCATCGAATTGGATGATTCCATCATCACGCCTATGCAGGGCAAGCCAAAGTCTTCATTGTAAGTAGCCGAGCACTGTTGTGTATTTCTTTCTTGAATCCAATTAGACTTATTAGCTGCTTCTGGCTCCGGCGATAACTCATCAAGTGATAATCCTAAATCGTATAACAGTTCCTGAAAAATGGACAAAAACAGCTTACTTCTTTGTATCTTTCCTATAATATGAACCAATAAATGATTAAGAAAAACAGATTTTACCGTTGGAATTAAATCCCCATCAGCAAGATGCTCTAAATTAAAAGGCACTTTGAAGCCCTCAGCTTCTGTAGGGACAGTTTCATCATGGTTAGTGAGAACTGAATTCGAAGACTTATCATTCTGTTCAATGGTGCTATACAGATTTTGAACCCTCCTATTGTCTTTGGGTCCACTTCCTTCTGTTGACACCTCTTTGAGGTATAAGGGTTCCTGAATCAGAGAAATATGAAATAGTTTTAGATAGTCATCATCCACACAGATAAATGATAAAAAATTTTCGCATCAGGCATCTTACTTTTAGAACGGCATCCTCTGCAACATGATTTACGACATTAGATGATAAATTAGAGTTTTCACCCTCATTAACCATGTTATGTTGATTGCTTATCTTTCCAGCATACGTCTCAACGCTGCTGCAATGATTATGAACACCGTCATGGTCGTTAGATGCTTCTGGCTCATATGACCCATTCGGGTCTAGGGGGTCCTGATAATAGAAAAATAAACAATAGTTGTGAACATGCTCATCATAACCGACATGGAAAACTGACTGAAAAAAGAAATATATTCTCATAAAGCATCTAACCTCTGACGTTACATTGTTTGCTACATGATTTTCTACATTAGAAAGAGAATGCTGAGTTGATTCACTAGCTTCACCGCTTGAAACATCGGCCTTTTTCTTCAGTTTACAAAGTTTGAAAGTTTTCTACGTAAATTGAAGGGCAAAAAGATCTGTATTATTAAGGTGTATATATAAACAAAAGATCAACCGTCTTGTTGAAATTTTTAGGATGGCAAAGAAAAACAGAACATATAAGCCATAGGATTCAATCATTCAAATAACTTGCTTTCGTAATCATCCATAAATAACAAAGCATGAGGATGCGAAGGTAAACCATATTTGTGATGCAACAGTATCCATAATTTTCCTCATCATCAAAGGAAAGAAAAAAAAAAAAAGATTTAAAGCTGAAGCAAAATATTGGTGCAGTGAAGCTCATGAATAAACTTCATTGAAATGAATGGATATAAAAGAATGTTAGCATGTGAATGATCACTTACTTGGTCAAAATCAGTTGCCTTAGGAGTAACCTTGAGTTCGTACTCATGCATAACCCAAGGAGTCCTGTTTTTGTTCTTATCATTATATTGGCCTTTATGGAAAACCAAGGTCTTCTTGCTGCCAATCTCCTCTCCAGTGTCAGGATTAATTATTTTTCGAGCATTGCCGGTAGGTTTCCAATACCCAACCAGGGTGGTCCTGCTAATTAACTTACTATTGCGGTACTTGTATTTTGGGGGGTACATGAAATACCACAACCGATCCCCAGTCTGCAAAGTCGAACGCCCTGAAAGACAAACACATGCATATTTAACAAATATGAGTATTTGGAAGTGTCGCAACATGTTCAGCAAGACTTCATTCCGGTGATAAACATGCAAAGAAACTGCTAAAATTATGCAATAAATAAATATTATTACCAGGTAATTCCCAAGGCTCTGACTCACAGATGTCTTGGACTTCAGCAATAACTTGGACAACAGAATCAGGGTCGAAGGTTTTGATATGCAGATACTCGATGAGTTCTTCATCAGTTGGGTGGAATCTGAACCCCTTGACGAAATTCATTCTATTTCATGAGATTGCTAAAAGAAACCAGAAAAAGCTGAAGAAGAAGATGAAACAAGAATGATTTATAAGGGTTTAATATTTTACATATATACATATAGATATAGATGCAGTAGTAAAACAACACTTCTTGCTTGCAAAGTTGTGGAACAAAGCATTTAAAGTGGATGCCACTAAACGTGCCTTCCAATATTCCTTATCATAATTTTTATGTCAGCAGGCTTTGATCATCGCTGCATCCTGCCCAACAGCCCAAGTATTTGCTACTTGCTTGGGTGGGTAGCATAACCAAAGTCAAGAATGATCAATATTCTACGGAATGTAGCTTTTCCTTTTTCCTTTTGGCATATGGAATTTGAACTTTGGGTTTTAATATTTTAGGGAATGTAACAACTACGGGACCACATTAAAATGAATCTAGAATTGGTTCCTTATATAGGAATCTTGCTCAAATTACTTATTACTGAACTTGCTCGTCAAGTTTTAGGCTTTAGCTGACCCCACTAACTGTTTACTATCCCAAGTACTTTGCATTTTCGTTATGGTCCCTATTATCTGCTACAGGCACCCAATGCAGACAAGTTCCAGAGTGCTTGACGCAGACTTTCCCCTAGGATAAGGGATTTGCATCTCTATGATCCAACATGGATCTCATGTGCAGCGGTAACCTTCTAAAAACTGCTAGTATCATTATAATAATCTAAGCTATAGATTCTTATCAACCAAGCCACCAAGAGAGTTCATATAGCAAATCTCAAATGGATGTGACTACCAGCATACTAGTTATAAAACAGTACAATATTTAACAAGCATCCTTTCGTGGAAGGAAAGTTTTATTGCCAGCATAAAATGTACAGGGGGTTCATTAAAAAAAAAAAAAACAGATGACAGCAATAAATCTTTAAGTCTGCCATCCAGCTACATATACGCAATAAGTCAGTTCAGAGCTCAAAGTGGGTGGCTCTCCAGATTAAGAACATTAGCATCATTTTCTACACTCTGCAACTTCTTTGAATTCCCCAACAAGACAAGTAAGATGAACATACAAGGGAAGTGCCTTTTGGATGCTTTGTGACCATTATTCTATGTAAGCAAAGATACAAGAGAGACGAACTCCAGGGTTATCCGGCCCTTGGATCTTGTGTTGATAACAAAGTGTTCAGGGTATTTTCTTAACAACATAAGCAGACCATACCATGGTTTCCCCTTGGATTCAGGACCAGGCCAGTCCTCAGATGAAAGATACCTTCTAACTCGGCTGTGATGCCAGATATTACTAAACTGTTCAACCAGCTGAATAAGATGAAATTACAGGAAGTCAGCAATCTTGTAAAATCTTAAAACTAAAAAATCACAGGGCTGAGATAAACAAAATGAGAAAGAAAAAAAAATGCAGGGAACAATGATCAGAGCTCCTTAAGCAAACATTAGTCAATGAATTATCTATTCTTCTTTTATAAAGATTTATTAACTTTTTAGACATCCAATTGAAATATGCTATGGAGATGCAATCATCAAATCATTCAATTTGAACCCATTTAAAACAAATGGAAGTTAGGAGTGGAAATAGTTAGTGCATTTGAAAATCCTTAAATTATAACAATAAACTGAATAAATCTTGTTTGCTCCTCTAAATTGAAGAGGAGGAAAAGGAAGAAGGCATGTGAGAAGAAGAAGAAAAAAAAGTAGAACTACTAGTGGTGGTTGTTTTCATTAATCATTATCACTCTCTGATAAGGATTCTCTTTGTTTTCTTTCTCCAATAAGGGTGCATCATACTTCTGGCATCTTTGAAAACATGACATCAATCAAACAGGAAATGTTGTAACTGCATTCCTACTCTGTCGAAATTTCAAAGCAAAATATAGAATAAAACCATTTCCAAGTCAAAGTCTTTAAAGCATGGTAAAGCACATCAATATGGGAGAATCAAAAAGCATAAGAAGGCTACTATCAAGCTGCCAGGGGTGTCATAAGCAAAAAATCATTAAAACTAAAATGATGCAAGGTCAAAAGCTCAAAATGAAAATAGCATAAGATTTAGATCACCCTAAGCTTAAAACTAACCTCAGCATGAAGTTTCTCCATGGCCATCCATTCTCCAGGACCACAAAGATCAGAAAGCACAGTAGCTACAGATGACACCACATCCTTTTCTTCCAACTGCATAAGTTGTTGATTATCAGATTCACGGTCAACTCTTGATCTTCCCTCTCCCTTCTTCTCTCCAGGAACTGCAGATATTACCGGGCCAATGAAACAGAATTTATCATCCGTTAAGTAAATAAGAAAGATGTATTTCTAGTTACTAAGTTGAGGTAAAATATAGAGAGAAAATGTTGATGGGACCTTCTTCTTTACAGGAACTGCATACATTACCGCGACAATGAAACAGAATTTATTATCCATCAAGTAAATAAGAAAGATGTATTTCTAGTTACTAAGTTCAGGCAAAATACAGAGAGAAAATGTTGATAGGATTGAAAGAGAACAGCTTTAATGAAAGTTCATGTCCTCAGCTGAAAAACTGATAAGTGAAAAAGAGTAACAGAAAACAATAAAACTGTTCATGGAATCAAACAAATAATTTCAGTGCTATAAAAATCAAAAGGAACATTTTTAAATGATAGATATAGCAATGCTTAGCAAATTAACAAAAATTATATACCTAAAACCTCATAGATAACATGATAAGTTGATAACTATAAAAATTACTTTTCTACCAGATTCTTGCTTATTTTCAGGTTGAGGAGGCAGGATATACCACTAGCATCCTTCCAGATTTAGATCTGACTAAAACCAAGCTATGCATAAGCTTAATAGAAAAGAGTCAGATGAAAAAGAAGAATCAACAGCCTATAATAGTGTGGGAAATGAAATTGAATGATGAGAATGTAAGTGTTGCTTGAGTAAATACCGCAAAAGATAACAATAAATGCCACAAAACCAAAGTTATGCCCTCCATGACTGACCGACTATGGCAATTTATAACATCTATAAAGTGTTAAATCAGTGTCAGTCAATACTTTCAAAAATCACTATTCATCATCTCTCTCTTCTCTGGAGGCATCATCACAAGTTTCATTAAAAGCTTCAAGCTGACTACATTGGATGTTCTACTTCTACAGACTATTCAAGTCCTAAGGAGTATCTTTAACAATTACCAAAGAAATTAAAATAACTCAGAACAAGGATAACCCAATGGCTTAGTGCAAATTCTCAAAAACCAGATCAAAATTCACTAGGAGCTGCAGAACGAGAAAAAAGATAAGCAATGGTATATTAAAGCCTAACTTTTGTTAGATCCAACTAAACAGTGTCGACTCTAAGAATTTGCCGTCCACTATATACATCTTCTTCAATTTTTACTGTTATCTAGAGCATTTAAAAATCTAAATTCTGTAAGGCTCTGCTTACAGTGTAACAACAACTAACTCCCAACCAAGAAAAGGGAACCACAAATGAGAACAATAGGAAATCAACTGCAATCACAGCAACAGACGTTGAAATCCTAGAGACATTTTTAATGATTCAAGGAACACAATGGGACACTCCTAGAAAATGATAACAAAGATTAAACCATGAAATCAACAAGGATGATGCTTAGGAAATGAAAGACCATTAGGAAAAAAGAATTCAGATTCAATCTAGCAAATCATTTTCAGTGCTGCAACCACAAGTATTTACGAAAGCCAGTAACTATGATAGCCAAAAAACCAAGAATAACATAGGAAAGAATGCACCCGAGGCAAGCAATATCATAACTCAGACATAGATATTCTCGAAAACCAAGATCTGTCATTCTAATAAACTAACATGACAAATCCCTTTTGCTATCTAACAAATGTCTTAATACTTCAGCATACAAGATGGCAGAAATAATCCCAAAACAACAATAATTCACAGTATATATCAATCTCTAAAAATTTACAAAATAATAAACTTTACAAAGCAATTATTAAGGAATGGTAAATTTTCTTCCTACATTTCCATGATCACAGCTACTGAAAATATAAAAGACAAAATTAGATCAAACAATCGCACAAATGATAAACCTTTTAAGAAAAAACAAAAATCAATTTTGCTAACCTAATCCTCCCGCCAAACCCGTCTTTCCTCCTGACCCGGCTTCCACCCCACTATACCACTCTTCCCTCCTAACCTTCTTCCCACCACTCCCAACATCCTCTTCCTCCCCATACTCCTCCTCATAATACTCTCTTCCCTTCCCTTTCTTAGCTCCCGCTGCCACCACAGCAGAACCAGACACAGACCCCACTGTTCTCCCCGCCTCCATTCCGCCATGGTAACCATGATGCGGCATCCCTCCAGCCGCGGCCCCCAGCCCCTACTGTCTGGTAAATTGAAACATGGTGCCTAGGCGCGAGGGCTCCCCCGAGAATGCTCCTCACGGGGAGAAGAAAGTAAAATTCTTTGTCGCCGATTTGGAGGAGGTCCTGGGAATCGAGCTTGACGGGAGGATTACCAGGAAGGTGGAGTACGCCTTCGACGAGGCAGCCGTTTTTGCCGAGGACTTCAAGCGCGAAACGGCGACGCGTGAAGTCGTAGAAGATGCGGGCGTGGTGGCGCGAAATGTTCATGCCGCCTCCGAGGCTGGCTAAGTCGACGTCGACTGTGGATTTCTTGGAGTTGCGGCCGAGCATTATCGAGTAAGTTTGCATATAGTATTCGAAGTCTTCGCCTTGTAGCTTGGCGAACCCCGCCTCCACGTCGCTCCCACCCGCCGTCCCCATCGTCGAGTTTGGTTTTGATTGAATTATTGATCGATCGAATGGTCGATAAAATGAAAAAGGGTGTCGGAGTTTGGAGGGAGGTTACTTGGTTGTCTGATCTTCTATGGCCTATGAGGGTTGTTTGGTAACTTTATCAGGTAATTTCTTTTAGCAGGTTTGTCAAAATCTAATAAAAATAGCTTCAACTTGTTAAAATAAAATAAAAAACCCCAAGGTAAAATCAAGTTAATGGAATTTGGGCTTGTGGGCTGCTAAAGGGGATCAAACCTTCTGTTTTTTCTCTGCTGATAAAACGCTGCGTTTTCTTCTTCAAAGTCGGTGATGTAAAGGAACATAAAATTCCCAAACAGTCCCATAGCTGGGCATCACTCTCCAAATTCGAGAGCCAAACAAGTGAGAAGAGAAAGAACCCAAAATAATTGAAATCTTCAAATTCCTTAGAAGTAGAAATAATCAAATAAATGCATTTTCTTATGCATTTACATTTAATTACACAACAATTTTTTTTATTTTTTTTATTCCTCACACTAGGAATTTTAATTTTAAAATCCTGAAAAAACTAATCTTTCTTCGGCTTCGGCTCTTCTTCTCGTGATTTCTAACGAATATGGTTTTGGATTAGCAGATAGAGACGTAGGCTGATCTCGTGGAGGGTGCTGGCAAAAGGTCGGTAAAAGAGAGACTCAATGGCAACCCCTCGGACAACTCTCTAATCGGCAGCGTCGAATCACCGGAAAGAGGTTTGGTTTTCTCTTTATTTTCTGTTTGTTTCCACGAAGGTTTTATTGGAAAAAGAAAACCTGGGCTTATTTAGTTTCCTTTTTCATTTATTTACTTTCAAATTTCATATTGGATTTGCAGCGTCGAGGTAAAGAAAAGGCCAACTTGGGCTGACCCAAGTAAAGCCCAAACCCAACCACATCCGGCTTTGGTGCCTTTTTCTACTTAATGCCTAGGCCTTTCTTCTTTCCATGGCTGCCAGCCCAGTCCCGCTTGAAATGAAAGGATATGAAAACCAAAGCATTCAGATCTGGACTTCAGCGGCAAAAAAAAAAAAAAAAATCGTGCCTTAGATGGTAGAAGCCCAAATGAACCAAAGAGTCCGAACCCCTTGGCCGTAAACCAGGTAAAAGGTCAAAAGTACCTCTCTTTCTACTTTGTTTTGTTTCTTTGTTCACTTTTCTTAACTCCTTTCTTCGTTTGCTGTCCCTTGTGACTCTTCTCCTCTTTCATCTTTTTTTTAGTTCAAGTTATGTTCTTTATTCAGTCGATTTACTCGTTGTTCGATCTTATTGTTTAATTACTTTTAGAAAAAAAATCTTAAACTAAAACTTCCAAGTGATGATTTTTGGGAAATTTGCACAAGGGCTTTGAGTTCCTTTGATGAAAAAGCAAAATGGAACTTTGAAAAAATATTTTAAATAAATTTTCCCTCTGATGGCGGTTTGTAGCTTTGATCCGCTTGAGCTGATCGTGTGTGTGTGTTTGTTTGTTTTCATCATTTAAATGGGTTTTAGTTTGCTTACTATTGGATTCAATTTATGGGTTTTAGGCTTTTAACAAAATAACTAGATTTGACAAAGGGTTGATACCGTTACGTGATTTCGCCAGCTGATGTTCGGGACATTTCGCTTATGGGCTTTGAGTTCCGTTCTTATGGAATAATAATGAAATATCATTTCTGCTTGAACCCTTCTGATGGCAGTAAATAGTTAATCTGTTTTCTTTTTATATGTCTGTGTTTTTAGTTTTGCACATTTTGTTGTATGACACTGCCCAAATAGCATTCTACGATTTTTTTTTGCCTTTCATTTTTCCTCTTTAGCTGTGGACGATGGACCTAATAATTGTACAAAGGGACAATCTAAACACTATTACGACTGATTTTGTGTGGTTAGATTAGAGTGAACTAGATACTAAAGATTTCATTAATGCGTTCTTGGTTTATTTAAAGCTTATTAGTTGGTGCCTCTACTTATACATGCTTTCTAGGTTTTTCCAACTGATAATGAAGTGTAAACAAACCGTTTGTTGTTTCTGTTTTATCTTGTTTGTTGGTGATTTTTTCTACTTCATTTTGCAGTTTATTATACGATGTGTTTTTCGTATTTGTACAAATCTTCATTGCTTTATAAATATCACTGACAAGACCCACATGCTTATGCTTAGACGCACTCTATGTGGATTAAATGGTTGTTAGTACTTGAGTCTTTGACACAGCACTAGATTGTTTGCATTTTGGTTTTTACCTACACACGATCTGTCTTTGTCTGTTTAAAGTTTTAAGTGGTTTGAAATAAAATCAGGACTTCTGAACCAATTATCATTGCCAATCCGATGAAGCATGTTTTGAAGATTGCTAGTGGTCATCTCTGCGCTTTGGGTTGGCTTCTTGCAGGCAGCCACAATACCACAAAGTCATACTTGGTTGGTGAGTTTTTTTTTTTTTTTTTGCCTTAGATTTTCTTGTTTTATTTATATCCACCTACTTTGTTCTATGATTTTTTTCAGCTACCCATCTATTTATGCTATGGTTTATTGGTGGTTGGAGTTGGTCTAATGCGATTCCCAACTCGCCTCAGGAAGCATTGCTGCTGCAGCAGGTTTCAGTATCTTTTTTTTTTCTGTATATCATAAAGTTTTTATTATATATATGGGTAATTAGTGATGAATGTCTTCCCCATTTCCTTTCCTCTCCTGTTTTTCCAGTATGCTTTTGAGCAGGCTGGTACTATGTGGAAGTAAAATGTTATTGGTAACATGTGGAAATAATATCTGGAAGCCACTTACAATTTGTTGGTGTTGCTCATGCTTGTTTAGTAATTTTTTTCCCCCAATATAACCCATTGAAAGTGTGGAGTAAAAATTCTCTGTGGAATTAATTTTTGCATTTCATCAATTATGTTAATCTTGCACAAAGCTCATGCATTTCGATCTTTCTTCTATGATGGTGCAAAATGACATGTTTATGCTTAACACATATCTTATTTCAAGAGTCAGACACCTATGGTAAAGTTAGTTTCATGATCTCACAGTGCTTTATGCATCACTAGATTGGTTGAGCTTGTTTGGTATGATCCAGAGAGTAGTGACCACCAAGCTCTAGTAAATATACAAAGAAATTGTTCATTGGGATTTACTCTTGATAGTGGGCAGGAAGGAGATTGGGATGACGGGTCTTCATTGTGGAGGGGAGATTTGATTAGGATTTTACTTTATATATTCAAATCAAATGAAAAACAAAATGATATTGGTATCCTCGAAAGTTTGTTTTCCAAAATATTACTAATAGTCTATTTCTAAGTTCTATAAGCAACTTTAGTTTCCAAAAAATCTTATTACTGTTCGGATTGATCTGTTTCTGGATTTATAATTTGCATTTTGAACCAATTTAAAGTAATTAAATTTGTTTTATAAAAATGGGTTTCAATATCGAAATACATTCTATCAAACATAGGGACTATTGTGATGAAATCAGACGTCCTTTCTCTTTTTTTATTCTGCAGGACCATCTTATTTTCAGGTATTTGCTTAAACGTAAAACTTTCTTTGCTTTTGGCCATTTCACTGTCACTATGGGTGGCTTGAAGTTTGTTCAAAATTTTGAATTCGGATTGAGTTCACATTCAAATGATTTATATAATCGATATTTAATAAATTTAAAATTTAATTTTCACTATATATAATTTTTTTATAAAGAAATATCAATCATTATGTTTTTGGTACATAATATCAGTCAAATTTTAAGAGTCAATATCACTGGCTTTGGTTGCATTGTGATAATCTCTAAAGGCAAAGAGCCTAAAGATTATGATTTCATATATTATAAAAATAAAAAAAATAAAAAAAACAAAAGAAATGGTTTTCTAAGGGTTTTTTTTTTCCTAGAATTTATGTGGATATTCAAATTTTTTTACAAAAAAATTCTATAAACCCTAACATATCCATGCAATTATTACGTATCACATGTTTTCCTCCATTGACAGCTTGCTCATGTCTGCGCAGAAATATATATATATAAAGGTTTTTACCCTCTGCATGTTCTTTCACGTGCATAATAAAATAGACTGAAATTTACGTGAAGGTTTTCACTTTTCAGGCAACTAACAATAACAATTGCCAGTTGCCGCTCTTCATCAAGGCCTCAGCAACTTTTTTGTTTTGGGGGTATTGAAAATAAAATAGTAGCCTTAATAATTTTTAATACAATTGGACACAGCTAAAGAAAATAAGAGATTCAAACATATTTCCGAAAGAAAGAGATTTAAACATTGAATCTTAAATTCTTGATCCTTTGTTGGAAAGGTTACAACTATCAAATCTTTACTCAAATCAATGAACAAAAACAAGTCTTCAAAATTTGTCATTATGGAAAAGAAGGAGAATTAGAAGATTTAGACAAAATGAATTATTTTTTTTTAAGCAGGTATAGGTTTTTATTTAATAATTCGCTATAATGTTTTTACGTCCAGAGTCCTCTAAAGATCAAACAAGATAAAATTCGAAATTTGATTTAGTTTATTTATACATTCGGTGACATTAAGTAAGGATAGGTTTTTATTTAAGCATTCTCTAGAATGTTTTTGTATCCAGAGTCTTTTAAATATTAAATAAAATAAAATGCAAATTTTGAATTAATTTGTTCATGCATTCGGTGACATCAAGTAAATTTAAATGTTTGAATCTTAACATTTACGATCTTTTGAAAATAAAATCAAATAAAAGAATATAATTAATAAATATAAAAAGAGATTTTAATTTTTTTAAACATTTAATTTTTAATTGAAAATCATATCCAAACTTCCAATGTTGATGTCAAAATCAAATTACTAGTACCAACTTCATTAATTTGATGATTACAAAAAATAATTAGGTCAAGAATATATCTCAATTTTATTTCATAACTTGTTTAAAATATTTCCAATTAATAATGTATTTTTTAAATTATACTAATAATCATGTATTATATTTATATAATCAACTATTACAATTATTGAATAATCAACTAATTAACTATAATATTATTAAATAATCAAATCACAAACAATTAATTATAAGACCCCTTCATTTTTAAAACATAAATGTAAAACCTATGGTTACAAAAATATTTTATTTATTTCAAATCAAATGCTCATATTTTAACTAAAATTATTTTTACTTTATGGATTTTGATGTTGCAAGTTTTTACTTGATTTTACTATCACTACTGTAATTGAGATTTTTAATCAAAATTTGACGACAAAACAAAAGTCAAAAGCCATGCTGAACAGATTCTTACATACTTTTTTTTTTTTTTTAAATAAGTTTGAAACTTCTCCAATGGCTGCCGCCTGTATATAGATTCCAAAGGAGGTCTGAGCTCTGAGTTCTCAAAGTATTTTTTTACACAGACAACTTTTTTTGTTTTCCCAAGATTCCAGCTCAAAAAACACCACCATACCATATTCCCTTCCCTTTATTCATTTGACAACCATCTCGTCTCCTCCCTTGCCTTCCTTTTTCCCTCACTGTGAAGCAAACTCTCAAACACTTCACATTGCATTATTTTTCACTCAGAGGACTCAAAATGCCAGTCTCTCCAGATCCAGCCCTTTGACAAAACCCAAAAGAAAAACCCATTTCTGTAGACTCGTTAAAACATTGAAAGTTTAACAAGAAAAAAAATGGGTGGTTTGAGAGAGTCGTGGTGTTTTTGCAAAGGAGTAAGCAAGACAGAAAAAATGAAGGGTACCATTTTCTCAAGTAAAGCTCAGGCGATGGCCAGAATTATCGGCGCCGCCGTCAATGGAATCTCAGGCACCGGATTCCTCATCCACCGGAATCTTCTATTAACTACTCACGTTAACCTCCCTTCTGTAGCTGCTGCTGAGAGCTCCGAGATCCGGCTCCAAAACGGCGTGGCTGCCACTCTCGTTCCTCACAGGTAAACTTTCTTTTTTTCCTGGGTTTCGTACTTCTTGTTCAATTAATGTTGAAAATGAGGGAATTTTAATGTCATTTACTTGATGTTGTTATCATTTACTATAATGAAAATGCTTTTTGATTTATGATTGGTTTATTAAAGAAATGTGGGTCCAAGATTGATAGTTGTAGAATTGATTTTCATACTTGGTAGAATTCTCAGCTTTGAGATTTGATTGAGCTAATTCTTTTGCCTTAACCTTTTATGCTAATATTTCATTAGATGTTCGAACATAAGGTTGTCAAGTTTACATTAGGAAAATAACATTCTTTATTAATCTTTGTTATAACTACAACCTCTTTCGTGTTGACATTTCATTGCCATAAATTTACTATGAATGTCTACTTTAACTGCTATTTGTGCTTCATTTCTCCTAGAAGTTAAATTATTTTAGATTATTAGGAGGCCTCTAATAGTTTTACTTTAACTAGTAGGTATGCGGCCGAGGTTTGGTTATTGGATTTTATGTATTAGTATCAGGTGCTAATGATTAGTACTTTGTTTAATTTATTTAATTTCAAAATATGTTTATGCGTGAGGACGTGGTAGCTTGAGTATCCTTTAGTTTTCTTCAATGAAGTTGTGTGGGGGGAAGATGAAAGATAGTATGCCTTTTGGAATAATGTATATACAAGATAATTTACCTCAACCTAACCATGGATGCGCCCTGAAATTTTAATATTTCCTTTACCTATGATGTCTTGAATTTGAATTCCATGGTTCTCTTATTCAAGGCAAGTTCTTTCCCATTGGCAGCCGTCAGGTACTAGTGGCTATAGGAATGCCCTCACTCAGTTCACTCTTAGAGTATGTTGAAACTCTTGATAGATGATGAAAAGATAATCTAATGCCTGATGTTTCATTGGCTTGTTGTAGTGAGCTGATAAATGCTCTGATTGTTCTCTTGGCTGGCCCATTTTGTGGCTGTGTTACGGTTTTACTCCACCTTATAGCCTCCACTTCCCCTCTGCTTCTTCTTCTTTGTTTTTGGTTTAATAGTTTCATGATTAAAATTCCTCTGGTAACTAATTTACTGATATTATGCATGGAACAAGGAAAACAGGCGGCAGAACTCGTGAAATATTTCTTTCTAACTCTTCTTTCTTTTATTTAGCATACTTCAAACTTAATTCCTGTCTTTAATCTGGTTGCAGGTTTTTCATTACCAGCTCTGTTTTAGATCTAACAATAGTGGGCCTAGATGCCATGGATGGCGAATCAAATACCCAGGGGCAGCAACCTCATTACTTGAAGACCTGTTTTAAACCAAATCTAGATCTAGGAAGTGTTGTTTACATTCTAGGCTACACAGAGAAACAAGAATTGACAGTAGGTGAAGGAAAGGTGGTTATTGCCACTGACAATCTCATAAAACTTTCAACTGATGGAATAATATGGAACCCTGGCTCAGCTGGATTTGATGCACAGGGGAATCTTGCATTTATGATCTGCGATCCTATGAAGCTAGCTACATCTCCTAATACCAAGTCGTCCTCAACTTCTTCATCCTCATCATCATGGAAGAAAGATACTCCTATGCAATTTGGTATTCCTATTCCCATCATTTGTGATTGGTTAAACCAGCATTGGGAAGGTAGTCTTGATGAAGTGACCAAACCCAAGCTACCAATTATTAGATTGATGTCCTCTGGCCAGAAGAGTGAGCATTCTTCTGCATCCTTCACAATGCGCCAGGTTTTCAAGTCAACGGAACTTTATAACGACAGGACTCCATCTTCATCAAATATAATCTCGAAAACAAGGGATCAACCAGGACCAAGCTCTTCTGCTGCGGTGAACACTGTTGAAAAAGAAACGCCACTTTCTGATCCATATGTTGCACATGTGCAAGGAATCCCAACTCCAGAAATATATGAATCACCAAAGTTGACTGCAGTCCCTCTTAGGAAGAAAGAGACTAGCCAAATCCAGCTTTTGGATATAAATTTTCCTTCCAGGATTGCTAAAACTGAAGTTTTGCATCCAGCCAAACAGCTACATCTGAACTCAGATGACAATGGTCTAAAGGAGCTTCCTCCAGAAATCCCATGGACAGAAGATCAGATCAAGAATAGAGTACAGACAAGTGCCAGTGCCGATGCTGATGTTGCCTCAACGGAATCTGTAAATGGTGCCCAGAGTGAGTTCCAGTCTAGTTCATCTCCTATAGAACTTTCAGAGCTGCATAATGGGTATAGCAGTGAGGAGGAGACCATGTACTCTGCTGAAACTGCTGAGAGCCGAAACTACACAAGTCCTAGAGAGGGAAAGTTTCAACAAGTGGCGAGGAGCCAGAGTTGTGTGGGTTACACTAGATGGGGAGCTGTTCAAAGAAATCCTGTGGCTCGCAGGGCTTTGCTAGAAAAGCAGAGGAGTTTTATCCATGGAAAGAAGACTTACTCACAAGGGGCAACGTCTCAAAGGAGTAACGACTACTTTAGCCCTACAGTATCCTCAATCATGAAGAAGCGTAACAACTCAGAGCAGCCACCAAGCCAACCACGCCAAAGCACCGATCATTTATCCCCAAGATGGATGTTTTAATGATTAGTGATGAGCATGATACCAAATGAGGACAACAAGCCAACAATAAATATATAGCTGTTTACACTTTCTCTATTAAATGCCTTTATTATTTGCATTTACTGCAACTAATTTGTTGAGACACTGTGCAGACTGATTCAAGGTGAATAAGAAAGGATTTGGCCATGATATTGTAGTTCTGACCAGTGATCCAAGTAGCCACATTGTTAATACAATTGCATTTTGAGACGCGATTGCCAGCAAGTAGCTTTGAGAACAACTTTATAAGTATAGAAATCTACTTCAATTTTGCAAATGGAAATTTACGAGACTGCATTATCACTGCTGTTACTGCCTCAAATGTATGAGACTGTAACTATTGTCCATTACAGGCTTCTAATTGCTGATAGTTCCCCATTTCTGATAGATTGTTGGAGAAGGGTTTTTTTTTTTTTTTGGTTCTTTGGTACAAACTTGGCAAATTCTTTACCTGAGGAATGCTCCTTCGTGCTCAAGATGACGCTTTAGTGTCTCTGTCATTGGGGCCACTTTTCATTGTTCTATTTTACTCTCATTGGACGACCCTAACTTGCAATAATAGCTGTTTGACAAAATTTCTCAAAGAATACTTAGCTTTATTCATAACCACGGAAAGCCTTGCAAGAAAGAAGAGAGTTAGATGGTCGCACACTTAAAATAACAAGGACGCCAAAATGGCAGTGTCATCCATTACCATTAGCACAACGCCAAGTGCCACGGAAGGAAAGCACTAAAAGCAAGTTCTTTAAAACCCTATTGACAAAAGAAAAGCAAAGAGAAGTCGATTGAATATTGTTTGACTTCTCCCCACTTACCTAATTTCTGTCAAAATTTAGCAGTCGAAAGAAATTTAGTGAATCCATGGATGTCGTAACAGATTTCATTTTTTTCTTGCTGCCTTGCCCGAATTCCACACTCTCTTGCTTAAAATGATGCATTTGTTCTTTCGTGCACATATTGTTTGATAAAATGTCGAATTGAAATTATTAAAGCACTTTTGAAACTTGTGCTTGCTACTCAAGTTGGGTCGATGATTTCTCACCTGTCTGCTGCTTGATTCCATGATTATGGTAACTTGTTATTTGGACTGTAACATGTGATCATGATTTGGATATAAAACAAAAATAATTTAAGAGAAATTCTAAATAATCTGAAAATGAATCAATCCCAATATAAAACCTTAATTTTTTATTTTAGAGTTTATATTATTTATTATTTATTTTTGAATTTGAATCATTTGACACATCTTTTAGCTTAAAATTTAACCTTCTTAAGAGATTCCCTCAACACATGAATGATCAAGTTTACCTAATAGTTAAATACAAGAGAGTCGTTGGCATTTGTAATCATATTTTAGTCTTAAAAATCATATATTTCGTCTATTCTATTTTTTTTATCTATCTTTTTTCTTTAAGATGTTTCCAAGTTATATATATTTTGAATATCTAAAATTTTTAATATTTTATATTTTAAAATTGTTTTTTATGACTTTTTATTTTTTTGATACTAAAAATTATAAATCTTTAATTTTATAAAAAAATTAAAATTTAATATTAAATACATTAAAATTATATTTTTTTAATTTTATAAAAATTAAAACACACCAAATATTTTGAAACGAAAAAAATAATTATTTTTATAAAATCATTAATAATATTCCTGAATACATGCTTTGTGGTTGTATAATATTTTTTTTTTGTAAGAAATAGGAATGAATTAATTATAAAATAGTACGATACATAATATATCCAGTTTTATCTATGAAGATAAATCTTTAACAAAAGAAGAAGGTTCACTAAACACCACATAGTTGACCTCGTAATGATTAGAACTATTACAATAATTGCTACTATCAAATCGGATAAGGGCGTCAGCACACATATTCTCTTTCTTAAACACGTTAAGCATATATTGATCTTCAAGATTTTTCATCAACTTCTTACAATCAGAAACCAAAGAGAGTACCACAAGATTAGTCATATAATGATTTTTAATCATAGAGATAACAGTGATAGCATCAAATTTAATTTTCAACTTATGAATATTGAGTATTTCATAAAAAATAATCTATCTCTGAAAGCTTACAATTCAATCAAAATATTTGAACACTTTAATATATTTAAAAGAATTAAAAATTTATTTTCTCTCACTATTTCGAATAATAGCTCTCAACTTTTATTTTTTCAGGTTATCAATATTGAATCATTTGTGTTTAATTTATACCATTCTTCATTGAGAGGTTTTTATCTAATGAACACAAAAAATTACAACGAAACCCAAATTTTTCTTCGACTCATCGTAAAAAATTCAACAATCTTCACAGTGAGTAATTTCACAAAATCAACGATCTCACCATCGTATCTAAAATTTCTTCCATTCCTTTCAAGCCAAATCTCCCATAATGAATTATTTTATCTTTATCCTAACTCCCCGTAATGTTACTTTGTTTTCAAAGAGTTAAGTCAACAGTCAACAATTTCACAATCACCCACGTGCATGGCTCCCGCTCCACTCTCTTCCCTTAAATTTTAATCCTCCTTAATTAATTCATCGAAAAAATTGTCTTATGCTAATAAAATACAATTAAATCTTCGACAAGCATAAAATAGTTAGATCCATTCATTAATTAAAAATAAAATTAAACGTACGAAAATTGATTAATTTTCCATAATCTAAATCTTCATCAAACAGATAGTGTCTTGTATTTGAGGTAACTAAGAACACTTTTGTGTTGTTAATGCTTTTGGAGTCGCCTTGGACTTATCATTAAGATTATCTTGCTATTTTCTTTTTTTTTGGAGTAATTGTTTTGGTGGAGTGCTTAACTTCCCCCCAAAGTTTTCTCCCATCTTATTGGTTAATTGACAATTGAAATTAGAACAAGAGATAAGAGCATACGAATTGGCCAATCAACTTCTAAAATAATTATCCAAGGCAATTGCTTGTTGCACTTGGATAAAGTTTCATCCATTATGGCCAATTCAATTTAATATACGTGGAAGGTAATTCTTTTATAAATTTATTTGAATTAATCTTGAACGAAAATGAATAAAATTAAAAAAAGTACTTTATCACTTAATAAAAGAATTCCAATAGTGATGCGTCCGTAGGATTAGTAGTTTGACTATGATTATGGTTAAACACACATTGATTTTGAGCCAAATTATGTGATCTTACTATTGTCTCCAAAGTCCAAACTCACCCTTTCTTTTTTTTTTTTTTCCAAACTCACCTTTTCAAAAAATTGTTATAATCAAATAAATATTTTTTCCTGTATTTTGAAAATTAATATAATGAAATTTTTTGGTACAAATAATATAATATAATGTAATTTTGTTTTCAAATAATACTAATTGCTAAATTATTGCCCAGGAAATGCGGAACTTCTCCCTGGTAATAATAAAAAATAAGTACATAATCACGTGTGAGGAACATTAATCTCGTAAATCATGTGCAACCCAGTCGTAATTGGAAACCACTGTCTGTATCCCCGCAATCCAAAACAGATCCTCCTCGGTCCCATCAAAGTATCAAATAAACCAAAAAAATAGCAAGCGCGAACAAGAAAAAAACTGCTGAAGCAGTGAAGGTAGGTTTCTTGTCTTTGTTGCCAAAAGCAAAAGGAGAGAGAGATGTTGAAGCTTTCTTCTTGTAATGTGACGGACCAAATTAACGCCTTGGGTCAATGTAGATTCGTGGGTTCACCTGACCCACTCTCCTTTCGCCGGCGTACTCCGGTCGTGGTCTCCTGTTCTCCGTCCTGTAGACTCAACCTGACGCCGGTTCAAGCCGTTCTGTCGGGCCAGCAACAATTCGGGACGGATCTGGGCGAATCCGGATTGGTTAGTTTGGCTGACCAGCTCCGGTTGGGTAGCTTGACGGAAGATGGATTGTCTTATAAAGAAAAGTTTATTGTGAGGTGTTATGAGGTTGGGATTAACAAAACTGCCACTATTGAAACCATTGCTAATCACTTGCAGGTATCTTTTTTATCCTTCTTTTTTCAAAATCGGAGTTTGAGGTTATTTGTATTTGTTTTCATGCATTTTGGGATTGTTTTTCGAAGTTGAAATTTGGGGATTAGCGATATAAAAAAGTTGGGATTTTGAGAGCATCTGGGTATGCTAGTTTAGCTTTATTTATTTACATGCGATTGTCAATTTTCGATTTTTTTTGGACTTTATTGTTGGAAAATGTTACAGAACTTCATGCCTTTTCTGATGGTTACTTTCTTGAGTTTTTTTATATTGGTCGGTGCATTGAATCTTATTCTGTGTATTTTGTAAGTTTTGATATTGAAATTGATTAAATAAAAGCTAAAAGGCTAAAAGGCTAAAATACTAAAAAAACCCCTTCAACTATTTCACTTTTCTTAAATAAGCTCTTATACGCCTTATTTTTTTTATTTGTATCCAAATAAGCCCTTTTTTTAGACAAAGGATTGATTTATATTAATGGCTTATTTAGGTACAAGTTGTAAGTTAAGGGCAGATTTGGGCGTAAATTAAAAGTGAAAGGCTTATTTGGATGTAATAAAAGTATAAAGACTTATCTAAATAAAGTGGTAAAGTTCAGGGGCTTTTTTATTCTTTTAGCCAAGCTAAAATTGAATGTTGAAGCTGGTAAGTTTTTATAAAAGGGATCTATTTAGCTTTGAATTGATTTCTATTTACTCATTTTTATAGGATTTGACAAACTTCACTTTAGGAACTCTACCTTAGGTTTTGCTCTTTCCTTTTTTGGTTGGGTCATTTAACAATGGTTGGTTTCCATATATAGTTTATACCTGCAAATTATCTGTTAATTTAGTTATACCTTGGTGACAAGTTTTAGTAACTGTGTATAAAATGAAAAATACCACATTTTCAAATTTTGTTTCTTTATTCTTTACAGGAGGTTGGAGGTAATCATGCTCAAAGTGTTGGATTTTCAAGAGATGGGTTTGCTACCTCTCCCACCATGAGAAAATTGCATCTCATATGGGTGACTGCACGCATGCACATCGAAGTATACAAATACCCTGCTTGGTGCGTATTTGTGTCCTTAATTTAACAACATTTTCCATTTCTAATTTATTTTTGACAGTTCGATGTTGATTTTGTGGCGTAGGAGTGATGTGATTGAAATAGAAACGTGGTGCCAAAATGAGGGTAGAATTGGAACCAGAAGGGACTGGATTCTAAAGGACTTTGCTACTGGTGAAGTTATTGGAAGAGCTACAAGGTCATCTTGAGTTTTCCCCCCTACCGTCTTCCCCCTGTTGCGTTTTCTGTGCATATTAGAATATTCATAACATGAAAAGACTGGAGGGCGTTGTAATTTTTTATGCACTATGGTCCACGGTGAACATTTACATTAAAGTTAGAATTTATTTACTGGTTGTTTAGATTCTTTCCCGTGAATAATTCATCCTGCAAAACCTGCTGCACTTTCCCATCTGTATAATCTGGTTCTTTCCTGTTGTATTGTACTTCTATCTTGAGTTAAAGTCTCTATCATGAATGCCATTGGGATTTTCTTCATTTGTGCAATATCTTTTCTAGATTGACCCTGCTGATCGGAATTAATGTGTTCTTATATATTTCTTAAGATTAGATGTATTCTGAAAGCTGATCTCATGTGGTATGATTTCAGCAAGTGGGTGATGATCAACCAGTACACTAGGAGGCTGCAGAAAGTTAGTGATGATGTCAAGGAAGAATATTTAGTCTTCTGTCCACGAAAACCTCGGTAGGTGCTTTTCCTTACCTGTAGGCTAAATTGTAGCATTTTTAATTTCTTTAATTACCTAATTTAATGTGATGCTGAATAACGATGACATGGTTATTCTCCATTAAGTACCTTGTGTTATTCTGTCCAATTTCTGAATTGCTAATGCCCAATGCTATATCAAAGTTGTGACTGAAGCTGGATGCCTGATAGAATAAGTGCCTAATATCAAATGAGTTGTAAAAAATTGCAACGATTCCCATAGGATTTTCGAGGCCTGAAAATATGTGTGTTTATCTAGCTTGAAAAGCTCGAAAATGATTAAGGGAGGCCAATTTAAGAATTTTTATTAATGAATCTCTCCTTTTACATATAAAAAATGTGATTGAAGATTCTTGGAAATGGGTCATTTGGAGTACAGTTCTAAGCTGTTTTTTGAGGTCAGGTCAGTGACACTAGAAATGGCTCAATGATTTCAACTGTTAAGTTTGATGTCAGTCTTTTAATGTGGTTTGCCAAGAAGAGATTAGGAACATTTTGGTAAACATGAAGACAGTGTTGTAATTGCATATTAGAACTTTCAAATTTATTTGCTTTGCATGCCCCACTTCATGATCAAAGTTGACTGAAGCTGGATCGGGTACTCAATAATATAAACGCCTCATGTCAACTGACTCATTGGAATTTGAAATTAATCTTTTAAGATGGTGGACTAAATGTTCAAGTTATTGGAAACTTTAGAATCTGGATTTTTTGTTGTATGAAATGTTGTGAAAATGCTGAAGACAGTACAATCTCCAGCTTACAGGATAAAATTTGCAACTCGTGTATCAGTATGTTAGTATAGCTGAACTTCATAAGTTCAAGTTACATTTTCCCTGTTCTCATTTATGCTATTTGCTTTAAGGAATATATTGTTTCTTGTTTAATTGATCCTCTTCTGGCGCTTACAGATTAGCATTTCCGGAGGAGAACAATAAAAGTTTGAAGAAAATTGCCGAATTAGAAGATCCTGTTCAGTATTCCAAGCTTGGGCTTATGGTAAGAATATCTGATTTATCTAAGCAATCAGCAAATTGTATATTCTTTCAAATTATTAGTGTGCTTTCAAAATTTGCAGCCAAGAAGAGCTGATCTGGACATGAACCATCATGTCAATAATGTCACCTACATTGGATGGGTTCTGGAGGTCAGTAGAGAGGACATCCTAAAATTCCTTTTTTTCTTTAGACTTTCAATGTGCAAAAATGGATGGTTTAATTGTTCCAGTTGATATCATAAGCTAACAATTATGCATGTCGGTTTGGCAGAGCATGCCTCAAGAGATCATTGACACCCACGAACTGCAAACTATAACGTTGGATTACAGGCGGGAAAGCCAACAGGATGATGTGGTTGATTCGCTTACGGGTCCAGAACCAGTGGAGGGTACTGAAACAATATCAGAGCTTCATGGAACAAATGGGTCTGCAGCTACAAGAGAAGACAATGAGGACTGCCATCAGTTTTTGCATCTCTTGAGGTTGTCTAGTGATGGACAGGAAATAAATCGAGGTCGTACTGAATGGAGAAAGAAACCTGCGAGATAAGGAAATTAGTTTTATTAAACTTTTCCTTCTTTCTCAATTTGCAGCTTCACCATTTTTTTTTTTTTGGTTTTTTTATTTTCTTATTCACTCCCAAAGGATTTTGCTTCAAACTTAGTAGTTGTAGGGTGTGTATTGTGGCGTGGAGCTTGAATTAGATATAGCAATAGAAAATTTTGCAATAAAAATTTATCGTTGATGCACCCGCTGCTTCCATTTTTAGTTTGTTTTTTTTCCAGCAATAGTTCATGAATACGTAACCTAAAAAATAAGATTTGAAATTCCGGTTTATGGATCTTTTGCTTTAAAACAGATTTCTTTAGTGTATAGATAATTTTTTAGCAATCCCTCGTAGAAAGAGTTGATACTGACGAATACAAATAATGCATGTTTCATCCACATCCAAATGGCTTAGAAATTGAAGTCTAATGAAGTAGCCCATGATCAGGGATCACCATTTCTTTTCCATGTAGAAAAATGGGCTAGAGTTTATATTAAAAAAAAAAAATACAAATAAACCTACAGAATAATGGTCTATCACTGATCAGTGATCACCATACATCCTTGAACTATCAATATTACACATGCACACCATTAAAAAAAACACAACTAAACATTACAATTCCATACATTCCGAGCCCTGAGATTAGTCCATGAAAATAACCGAACTACCAAAATTAACTGATGCCATACTGGAGCTAAAGATCATGCTAAATGCAATCCTTAATAGAGACATACATGATACATGACTAACTAAGCCCTATTTGTAGCTACTTTTTAACGTTTTGAATCAGCATAGGCAGGTCAGATTACGAGAATTGTATTCATTCAATATGTTTGTTTGGGGTGCCAACCCCTGATCCAATATGTTATAGTCGCAAAATTTCTAGTGATGTCCTCAATATTATCACTCTTTTAGTGTTATTAACAATATCTATCGTCTGGGTAACTTTCTTTTGCCTCCTCCAGCATAGCTTGAAAGGTTTCACGCTCTATATTGTTTGAAAGCTTGGCACCCTCATAACCTCTGCCAGAAAAAGAGTTTTTGAGACAAAAAAAAAGAGAAGCCATAAATTAACTGGAAACTCAGAATCATATGGACAGAGCATTGTTACCTCTTCCACAAGATCAAACCATCATTGTGGGAAGAAATCACAACCATGATAATCTACAATGTTTCCCTCTTCTTCCATCACAGACCTTCAGACTTGGACACATTAAAATCAAATGCATACTACTAATGCTAATTGACTTAATTCATCGTTGAAAACTTTCAAGTGGCAGATTTTCTGATTTCAAAATACTCTTTCTTTCATGGACTTAATCATTGTTGAAAAACAAGCGAAAATCAGGAATAAAACCCATAAATTAAAACAAAAAAGCTTACGAAGGACATAGTAAAGTACGTATAGAATCCAAGTCCACCAAGAAAATAGTCAAAATTTATGGTTGATGACGTGACACTGCAGGTCGGCGTCCCAGCCGTTGACCAAATCCCCTATATTTATGTGGCGGAGCTGGGTGGCCTCCGCGAGAGCAGAAGAAGTCGTCGTTTTGCGAGTTTCAGGCGTGCCCCTCAGCAAAATCTTCAGCCTCTGCCTCTTATTGCTGTGTGGAGCAAAGGAGTTTTCAAGGGCAATTCGGTTATTCCACGTTTTTAGCTTTTCATGTATTTCGAATTCGGCCCATCCAAGGGCTGATGTCTCATATAGGTTGAATTTATTTTTAATGGAAGACAGCAAGATTTTCCGTCTTTAAACAAACCAATCTTCCATGTGAATTGAGAAAAGCATTAATTTCTCCTTGCATGGATTTTATTTTACTTTACAGGCATACACATATTTTAGCATGCACGAAGGCAACCGCTGGGAAATGTGAGTGAGGTTGACAGACATTCAACCGCTTCATCTTCACTTCCAAACAGTAATTACTTTACGAATTTTAGACATCAGAAGGCTCCATGTAAAGAGAAATGCTTAATCCAAAAGCAAATCCCATTTACTACAATTTAATCTTGGGGACCATATCCATCAATGAAGATGCTTAAAATTTTCATATGCGACAATCACAACAGCCTAAGACGTACACATTTAATAGCAAATCATGGGACATGTAGCGTTGATTAGCAGTTTAGCATCATCACCTGCCATGGCCAATCGGTAATTATTATTTGAAGGTTTCTAAAAGAACCAAGTTCCCCATTGCATAATGCAGTAATTATACCCCCCAAATCAAGTAAAAGAACATCAGAATTGCAATATAAAACGGGGTTCCATGCAAAAGATTGAAAGACAGAAGCAATAGTCGGTATGGAGAAGAAAATCGCCGAAGCAACATTTTCTTCTTTTTCTTATGCCCTCTCTTCTAACTGAAGGAGGGAGGGAAATGCCAGCCAGAGACGAAGTTTACAGTCCCCAAAGTCTCCTTGGTCCTTGGGGTCTTCCTTTATTTGGTTGGCCACTTCCCCTGTTCAAGCCACCTAGGCTTGAAGGGTGCTGCGGAGGTAAATAAACCTGGGGAACCACGGAATAAGGCCGATGGACAGCGAACAGAAGTGACTAAAAGCGATGGCAATGCCATCGACCCATTCCCGTAACCAAAGAGAGAACTCATCGTGGCGGTGTTAAAAAAAAGTGTCGAATAGGGGGAACACTCCTTGTAGTTTATTGTACCACCTACTTTGAGTAATGGATATCCTACTCTTAGTGCCTTCGCACTTTGAATAAATGTAAGTTCACAAGCTTCTCTCGTTCTTTGCCTTGTAATCGTCTCTCATCAATTTTGGGGCAAAGCAGGTTCTATAAATAAGTAAGCATCCAAACAATTAAAAAAGTTATCTAGATACGTATAACAATAACAGCCCCACCAAAAACAGCCCTCCATGTTCATAAAAAAATTAAAGTTAACAAAGTTGATTCAGCCTACCTTAAGCCTAAGGCTGATAATTGCCTGTTTTTAAAACTGGAATAGGGTCATGTCAAGCGTAGGATTTAGGACTGCAGTTCGACAATGGGTACTTAGGCTACGACCTTTCAATCCGACCCAACTTGCCTAACGTTATTCACCTTTTCCAGCAAAAACAGGCAGACGACCGAAACCAATCAGTTCATGAACCTCAGCATAAGGTGCAGTTAAAGGGACCAAACACAGGCAACCTAAATCATTGACTTTAATGTCTTTTACCGTACATAAATAAGTTGTCAAGTCCCAATCCAGATAACAATGAAGCTGAGCTGACCAAATTATCAACAGGGAGATATGCATACATCTAAGAAAGCAAATAAAGCCTGCTCAGACAATTAATAAAAAAGATTGTCTACTAAAACACGGTTTAAAACTGCACATGTCAGAAATTCCAAATTTCCAAAAATAGCTCCACTGATACCCCAAATCCATTGCATCTTTCTCTTCTCAAGGGCAGTTTGTCTTAGCCCTGAAATAAAACAAGAATCATCACCAGAACATAATTTAAAAGAATACATAATAGCATTCTAATAGCTGCCACATCTCAACAATATTGAAAGAACATCTTCAAGCCCCCATACCACTATAGTGAACAAAATGCTTTAGAAAAATAGACGAGTAACATATCAGACATAGATTTAGATAAAACTCATCCATGAAAATACAGCATCCAAGAACATAAGGCAGATATGCACATCTTCCACAATGAATATTCACAGTATAAATATTATTCACTTTCAACACCTATGACTTCATATTCTTTCCGTAATAGAAATTTAACCTAAAAAAAAGATATAGAATAATAAACTTACGTTACTAGTCAAGTATGAAGCTCATATTCAACTGGCAGATGGAAGGAAGACCCTAATTAGTTCCTTCGCAGTGACTCTTTTCCTGCAAGTTGGGCATTTCCCCTGGGCAGCTATTGCAGCTTTAATGCATGCCTTGCAGAAAATGTGCTCACACCTAGTTGACATCTCCTCGGCTAATGAACCCATGCAAATTGGACAATTGAAGGTTGGCTCCTTTGGAGGTGGCTGCGGTTTTCTAATTTCCTCAACCTGCCAATAAAATAGTTCGTGAATCTTAAACATGAAATAAAAAGAGGTGCACCTATATGAGAGCATGTGCATGGACAAAAATAGAAAGAGATCTCCAATCAGAATGTCTTAGATCTAATGACCAGCCAAATATGTAAAATATTTCCTTGAAAATATTTTACATTACATCTTTTGATTAAGTGGCGAGGAGCCAGAGTTTTGTGGGTTACACTAGATGGGGAGCTGTTCAAAGAAATCCTGTGGCTCGCAGGGCTTTACTAGAAAAGCAGAGGAGCTTTATCCATGGAAAGAATACTTACTCACAAGGGGCAACGTCTCAAAGGAGTAACGACTACTTTACCCTACAGTTTCCTCAATCATGAAGAAACGTAACAACTCAGAGCAGCCACCACGCCAACGACGCCAAAGCACCGTTCATTTATCCCCAAGATGGATGTTTTAATGATTATTGATGAGCATGATGCCAAATGAGGACAACAAGCCAACAACAAATATATAGCTGTTTGCACTTTCTTTATTAAATGGCTTTGTTATTTGCATATACTGCAACTAATTTGTTGTGACACTGTGCAAACTGATTCAAGGTGAATAAGTAAGGATTTGGCCATGATGTTGTAGTTCTAACCAGTGATCCAAGTAGCCACATTGTTAATACAATTGCATTTTGAGATGCGATTTCCAGCATGTAGCTTTGAGAAACAACTTTTTAAGTACAGAAGTCTACTTCAATTTTGCAAATAGAAAGTTATGAGACTGCATTATCACTGCTGTTACTGCCTCAATGTATGAGACTGTAACTATTGTCCATTACAGGCTTCCAATTGCTGATGGTTCCCCATTTCTGATAGATTGTTGGAGAAGATTTTTTTTTTTTTTTTTGGTTATTTAATACAAACTTGGCAAATTCTTTACCTGAGGAACGCTCCTTGGTGCTCAAGATGACGCTTTAGCGTCTGTGTCATTGAGCCTACTTTTCTCTTTATTGTTCTATTCTACTCTCATTGAACGACCCTAACTTGCAATAATAGCTGTTTGACAAAATTTCTCAAAGAGTACTTAGCTATATTCAAGACTAAGTGCCACGGAAGGAAAGCACTAAAAGCAAGTTCTTCAAAACCCTATTTACAAAAGAAAAGCAAAGAGAAGTCGACTGAATATTTTTTGACTTCTCCCCATTTACCTAATTTCTGTCAAAATTTAGCAGTCGAAAGATATTTAGTGAATCCGTGGATGTAGTAACAGATTTCTTTTTTTTC